TTTCATTACTGTATTGTGATGTTCTAAAATGAAAAGGTAGTATAGGATTTTATATATCCCAAAAGATAAACATCTAAATTCAGTATTTCAGTAAAGTATCATTTGCTTCCTCACCATTAGATTAAAAATAATTATTTTGTTGGCATTTCCCTAAAATATAATCAAAAGTGGTTTATAATGTAAATATTTAACCCAAAGTATGATAAAGATCTCTCTCTTGTTTTTTTGTTTTGTTTGTTTGTTTGTTTTGTGTGTGTGTGTGTGTTTAAATTCTCATCGGAGGGCATGCTTGGAGAGAGGAAGGGAGAAAGAGAAAAAACAAACTAACAATGAATGTGAGAGAGAAACATCTATAGGTTGCCTTTTGTTTGCTTCCCTACTAGGGATCAAACCGGAACCCCCCTGGCCTGGGCATGTGCCTACAACCTTTTGGTGCACCAGATGTCGCTCAACCAACTGAGCCACTCTGGCCGGGCAGGGTCTCTTTTCTGCAGCATGCTGTATATTAAATTTTTTTCTAGTTACTTGCTTTTAAACAGTCATGTTGTATTTGTTACTTCCTTAAAGCAATGTTAATTCTGTTAGATGTTTACCTAGCCCCAAATAAAGAGATAAGAATTTTATTTTCACATCTGGTAATGCTATCTGACTTTAATACGACTTCCCATTGTACATTTAATAGTTTGATTTAGTAAATACAGCTAAGACATCAGTTTTAATTAAGCATTTGAAGATCAGGATTGGCTTTGCAGGCAATTTGCTATCTCAGTGTTGCTAATGAGAAGTAATTTCTAAGCACCATTTCAAACCTACAGAAATTATCACAGCACCGTATTTGAGGGTTGTTAGATCCTTATAATAAACCAGTGGCCCAGTGCATGGATTTGTGTACATTGGAAGGAAATTAATTAGGAGAAATATTTTAATATCGCTATTCGCCCTTTCTCTATAAGTGTCAGAGATGAAAGAAAATTAGTAAAATGTATATGAAAATAATATATAAATTGATTAATAAATAAACAATAACAACATGATATAACAACAACAAAGAAATGAAATAAAACCAACAAAACCATGGTATAAAAACAACATTGATTAAAACAATGACTGATAAATTGATTAAACTTATTCTAATATCTCCCTGTATACCACATTAAGAGTAAAAACAGCCCTAACTGGTTTGGCGCAGTGGATAGAGCATCATCCTGTGGACTGAAGGGTCCCAGGTTCGATTCCGGCCAAGGGCACATGCCTGGGTTATGGGCTCCATCCCCAGTGTGTGTGTGTGTGGGCGGGGGGGGGGGTGCGGAAGGCAGCCAATCAATGATTCTCATCATTGATGTTTCCATCTCTCTATCCTCCCTTCCTCTCTGAAATCAATAAAAATATATTTAAAAAAAAGAGTAAAAATACTTTTAGAGTGCTTGACTAATTTCCCCTGTGATGAAGTATTTACAACTTTTTTAAAAAATATATCTTTATTGATTTCACAGAGAAAGGGAGAGGGAGAGAGAGATAGAAACATCAATGATGAGAGAGAATCATTGATCGGCTGCCTCTTACATGCCCCCCACTGGGGATCAAGCCCACAGTCTGGGCATGTGCCTTTGACTGTAATCAAACCCGGGACCCTTCAGTCCGAAGGCTGACGCTCTATCCACTGAGCAAAACCAGCTAGGCAAGTATTTACAACTTTAACTTTAACATCACACGCTCTTCGAACTTGAGAGAAAGCAACATATAACTGACCATGTCTGAAAACGGGTTCAGGTAGGAATATGCTTACTCTGTCTAGACTAGAGTTTATCCCTGTGACTTATTAATAGTCATAGCAAATGCTGGCATCACGGGAAACTGTCTTCAAATTAATTTAAATGGGAGGCCAGTGTCAGATGGGGACAAATCAATTCTTGGAATCAGAACAACATTTCCTTCCGCAGATCCTGTTAATACTTTAGCTTCAATTATGTTAGGTCGCAATCTTTTGATAATAAATCTTATACCATTACAAAGACCATTTACTATTAAGATTTCTCAGTAGCATGATGATTGCACCTACTTTCAATTTTAATTTATGACACGGCATTCCCGAAGGAGTAATACTATTAAGAAATTCAATGAGAAAATTTTCCTTTTTGGCATCATCTGTTGAATGGATGGAATCATCACTCATATATGTGTGAAAATCTCCATCGAGTATATCCAAAATTTCTTCATTTAATTTATGAACATGCTCATTTTCAGAACAAAGAATCAAATAAAATATATTTAGAACAAATATATTTTAGATATATCTATAGATATATTATTTCCAAAGGTAGCTTCAATAATAGATCCGTTATAAATCATTTCATGGGGGATTTCAATAATATCCATTCCTAAATGAAAACTGCTAGCAAGTTTGCCATCTCCAAGTTTTACTAACCATTTGCTATAAGCAGAATCCTCTGATCTCATATTTGTTTTAAGAGACAACTGTCTGAAACATCCCCAAACATTACAGTACTTTAAACTCATTTGTACTATGGCTGATCGCATAGCATGCAGTACAATACTGAGACATTGTCAAAAATCCCCTCCGAGAAGGAGAACTATCCCACCAAATGCAACATTCAAATTCATAATTTCCCTTAGTAATCTGTCTGTGGCGTTTATAGCATGACTGGATGCCATGGTGCATTCATCAATAATGAGAAGTTGGGCCTTTTTAATGGCTTTAGCAACTTCACTCTTTGAGTCTAGAAATTGAAGTTTCATTTAATGGAATTGGTAATTTATATTGGGAAAGAAAGATTCTTTCACTGAGAAGTAAATTTGCAGCAATTCCTATAGATGCTGTGGGTAAAACAGTACCACCACAACCTCTAATATAATGTATTAAAACTTTATAAAGATATGTTTTTCCACTACTGCTCGGACCATCCAAGAAAAAGCATTTGGGGTGTACAGTTTGATCTTCGATGGCTGGAGTTATAGTCTGAAAGGCTGCCAACTGTTCCATCGTTGAGAGAATTGATCAAAACCTCTGCCTGTTGTCGCTCATACAATTCATCACATGTATTTGTATTTGTTAATAAAGGATAGTCCAGAATTTTGAAATCCGAACATTTCATTCCATGCAATGTGAATACTTCTTGAATTTCATTAAGGGCATGCATTTCACAGTTCACACAGGCACCTTCTCTTTGGTGTACTTTCCAACAAAAATCTTCAATAAAATGAGATTTATTCTCATCCCATAATTTGTCTGCATCAGAAGGACATCCAAATACGCACATATATGCAAAAAATTGCCATAGTTGTTTGGGCATATTAAGGATAATCACATTATCAGTCATATCTTTCCAGATACTGTCATTGATTAATAATCCTCGATGTTTAGCAGCTTCACGAAAAATATCATAAATTACACCTCCTACAGTTCTCAGATCAGCAAAACTTATCTCACCTTTTACATGCAGAAGCAAAAGTCTAGGGTAATATTGTTCTGGTTCTCTAAAGCTCACAGTGAACACCTGCCCTTTTGGCATTTTCTCCACGAAGAATTATTAAACACATAATGTTGTGGAATCTCCCATTAATAATAATTATGCGAGTCAAAATCTTCTTGGTGCCAGTGAGAGCTTTATATGTATTGTGCATGTGCGAGTCAAAGTTTATTTTTAAATTGCCAGAGTGCGTCATATGTACCGGCCGGTCGGTCGGTCAGATGGTCAGACAGTGGAAGGTAGGTCACTTAGCCTTTTTCTGTATAATAAAAGTGTAGTATGCAAATTGTCCCCTTGAGCAGGAGTTTGTCCTGGAGTTCGACCAGGGGGTGGGGCTGGCCGGGGGAAGGGAGGGAGTACCCAGCTGGCAGCTGGCAGCTGGCAGCTGCTTTGGGACACTACCAGTGTATGAATTTCATGCGCTGGGCTTCTAGTATATATATAAGATTATTGTTTGTCTTACAAATTCATTATCTCTTCACCCATCTTGTCTCTAACCTACAAATCCTGTGGGAAACTAAAATAAGGGAAAGACAGAGAAAAAGGAATTATAAGTACATAGAGTCCCAGAAAAGCCATGGGTGCCAATGCAGCTGGGCTTCAGGAAAGACGGTAGAAGTGGGGAAACCCTCTGGAGTCCAGGTAGCATATGTTTTCTATCTCCTGTCTCTAGTTCTGTGTATGTTTTAAAATCTTCCCTTTCTCTGCTAACTGGTCATGTGCTTCTAAGTTCACATGATGGAATATGGTCTGAGTTACTTGCTTACTGTCTAGGGAGAGACATCATGGTCTCAATTCCAGATTCCTGGAGAAGGGACTGTGATCTGGTTTGGGTCAGATGTATCTTTGTGTATCTATCTTTGTGTAACCCACCCCTGGTCAGGCCTGGTGGGCAGGGCTACCAGGTGGCTGCAGGGGATCAAATCTTTGGGTGTATATGCGTTGCTATTGTTAGGTCAATGCTGACAGGAGCCAGGCCAACACACGTGAGAGTGTAAGAAATTTTATTGCATTCTCTCACAGCGGGCTGAGACCAGGGTGTTGGTGTCAGCCCCCAGGGGGTGGTGAGGTTCTCTTATATAGGGTAGAGGTATGCAGTAGAGGGCCAGGATATGGGTGCATGAATTGGTCAAGGGGAGGGGAGGGCACAAGTGGGCCAAGGGAGGCAAGGGAGGAGAGTGCACAGGTCGGTCAGGCGGAGAGTTCTTGCTTCTGCAGGCACGACTGGCCATCTGCCCCACGCTATGGGAAAAGGCTTATAACAATAAGGAGAGATTAGAGGTAGTTCATCCTAACAGTTATGAGCTCAGTACACCCTACAAAAAGTATCCACAGTATTCCTCTAGAGCAATAGCATTACTAGATTATTGTTCTACCCGAACTCAGAAAATTATGGGGAGGAGGGAGGATAAAGTTGGTTGAGTAGAGGACTTTCATCATAACGAGGTGAGGAAAAAGAACTCTGTTGCATCGAAGACATTTTGATTTAATATTTCATTTTCTTTGTAACAGGTCAGTGGTTACTTGGATGATTGCACCTGTGATGTTGAAACCATTGATAAATTTAATAACTACAGGCTTTTCCCAAGACTACAAAAACTTCTTGAAAGTGACTACTTTAGATATTACAAGGTATTTTAATTTTGTATAAGAATACTTAAAGTTTAAATGGATAATTACATTTTCTTAGGCATTGCTAGGCTTCAAAATCATAGCTAGTGCTTGAAATTGATCGAGGACATATTAGGAAAATTCAGTTCCCAAGAGTGAATAACGTGGTTCTGAGACTACCCATTGTATACTTTTAATTTTAATAACTGAGTTTTACACGAGTTAGAAACTAGTAGGTTAAACTGAAGTCAGAAAAGAAACTAGTATGTGTATTGTAATCAAAATCGTGAGTTCATAATTTTCTAAAACATCAGATTTATTCCAATTACTTAATGTAAGTAAATGAAATATTTTTGAGAAGCATAGCTTTATTTTGACCTGTATTATATTAACAAGTCACTCGTCATACTTTATCTTGAGATATCTACTGAAAGAGTTTAGAAAACCTCATCATTGGATTATATAGTTATAGTCTAAGTTCACAGTTGTCTAATGATTCTGCCATGTTAACTGTTACTTGCTTTAAAAGAATGTGAGTTTCGTAGTGGTGATCTGAGCTACTTTGGCTCCTAGATGCCATCTGCTCAGGGTTTGTTTAGTCACAGTCTGTGAATTTCTAAGTCTACCAATTTACTTATTAGCAGCTACACCTTTATGTCAACATTGGAACTTGACACCTGATAAGTGAAAGCAATAGAATAATTGTAGCCAATAACACGATCAGGTTATAGCACCACAATTCAACATGTGTTAATTCCAAACTTTTTCTGTTTTCAGAGATTGTTTTAAAATGTTTTCTATTGTTATTTTACAAGGTAAACCTGAGGAGGCCCTGTCCTTTCTGGAAAGATATCAGCCAGTGTGGAAGAAGAGACTGTGCCGTCAAGCCTTGTCAATCTGTAAGAACCGTGTAAATATTTAAGAACTGTTATCATCTTTTTTTCAAATAATTACAGCTTTTTAAAAGGGGCAAATATAACTAAAATGATATTTTAATCCTTAGGCTAACTATAATGTGTAATATTTACATATTAAAAACCTAAACTTACAAATATAAAACACTTCGAATTATACTGCCTTTATAATAATAGAATTAACATTTTGTGGTTAATCTAATCCTCTTACTTATTAGTGAGATTAATACAAATGGTCCCCAACTCAATCGATGGTTTAATTTATGGCTTTCTGACTTTAGGGTGGTGTGAAAGCTGCATTCAGTGGGAACTGTAATGTGAATTTTGACCTTTTGCTGGGCTACTTTATTTGGCATGACAGTCTCTCGCGATGCTGGGCAGTGGCAGTGAGATGCTTTTGCCCAACCATAGGCGAATGTAAGTGTTCTGAGCACATTTAAGGTAGGCCAGGCTCAGCTATGAGGTTAGGTGTATTAAATTCATTGGATTTACTGTGTTTTCAACTTATGGCTTATGATGGGTTTATCGGGGTATAACCCATTATAAGTCAAGGAGCATCTGTAGTTTTTTTGGCTTGATAGTTTTTCTTCTTATATCTTACCTGAACAAAGTTATGTTTATAGTATAATAAAATGAAGTTAATCAATGCATAAACCAAATCCCGCTCCCTTTTTTGTGGGTGTATTATTTTCCTTGCATTTCCTTGGGTGGGAGGAGTTGGAGAAAATACCTGGTTTTATGAAGGATTTCTCAGAGCATTACAATTTGAAGTATTCTACTCTGAAAGCAGAGAATTTCATGCTTTTCAATGAAGCTTTTTTTTTTTTTAAAGTATACATTTTTGCTCAGCTGGTGTGACTCTTCGGTTGAGTGTCGACCTATGAACCAATAGGTCACGGTTTGATTCCCGGTCAGGGTACATGCCTGGGTTGTGGGCTCCATTCCCAGTGTGGGGTGTGTAGGAAGCAGCCAACCAATGATTCTCTCTCATCATTGATGTTTCTATCTCTCTCTCCCTTTCTTTCTCTGAAATCAATAAAAAATATTTTTAAAAAGAATAAAAGTTTATATTTTTACTTTTTCATCATGGTAAAATATACATAAACATAATTTTACTATTTTAATCATTTTTAAGTGTATAGTTCATTGACATTAAATACTACATTGTTGTGCAACCATCACCATCTCCCATCCCCAGAACTTTTTCATCTTCCCAAATTAAAATGCCATACTCAATAAACAATACTTTCTAATTCCCCACCCCTCTAGCAATCACTATTCCACTTTCTTTCTCTATGAATTTGACTATTTTAGGTCCCTCGTACAAGGGGAATCATTACAATATTTGTCCTTTTGTGTCTGGTTTATTTCACTTAGCGTATGTTTTCAAGGTTTATCTTATGTTTTCAAGGTTTATCTACATTGCAGCATGTATTTTATTCCCTTTTTTTTGGTTTTGTTTTTTGTTAATCCTCACTGAGGATATTTTTCCCATTGCTTTTTTTTTTTTTAAGAGAGTGTGTATGGGGTAGGGCGGGGGGAGAGTGGGGGAGAGAGAGAGAGAGAGAGAGAGAGAGAGAGAGAAATATCAATGTGAGAGAGACACATGGACTATTGACTGATTGCTTCCCACGCGTACCCCGACTGAGAATTGAACCCATGACCTTTCAGTATGCAGGCCGATGCTGTAACCACTTAGCCACACCAGCCAGGGTAGATTTTATTCCTTTTTAAGTCTGAATTGGATTCCCTAGTGTGTGTATACGACATTTTGTTTATCCATTCACCTGTTGATTGACTTTTGGATTGTTTCTACCTTTTAGTTAGTGTGAATAATACTGCTATGGATGTGGGTGTACAAATGTCTGCTTGAATCTCTACTTTCAATTTTTTTTGGTATATATACCCAGACGTAGAATTGCTGGATCATTTAGTATTGCTGGATCTGTGTTTAATTTTTGAGGCACACCATGCTGTCTTCCACTATGGCTGTACCATTTTACATTCCCACTAGCAGTGCACAGGGGTTTTAGTTTCTCCACATCCTCCCTAACACATGCTTTTTCCTGTTTTTTTGATAATAGCCATCCTAGTGGGTATGAAGTACTAGCGTAGTTTCTTTAAAATATATTTTTATTGATTTCAGAGAGGAAGGGAGAGGGAGAGAGAGATAGAAACATCAATGATGAGAGAGAATCATTAATCGCCTGCTTTCTGTTCGCCCCCTACTGGGGATAGAGCCACAACCCAGGTATGTGCCCTTGACCAGAATCAAACCCAGGATCCTTCAGTCCATAGGCCAACACTCTATCCATTGAATCAAACCAGCTAGGATTAGTGTAGTTTTGAGCAGTTAATTTTTATTTTTGTAAATATTGCCATATTGACCTATCTAGCATGTGGAATTCAGGTAAATATAAGATTATTTACTAGTATTTTACAACTAGATGAATGAGAAGCATGTTTTTAGTTATATTAATCCTCATAGGTACAGCTTTTGAAAATTCAAGGATTAACTTATGAAACACCTTGTATTACTATGATTAAAGCATGAGTTTATCATTAAAGTCACATTATTAATTTAAATGTTTCATTTTACTTCATAAGTTTAGAATTTATATTTAGTAATATAAAAAATGTTGGGAAAATTCAAATTGACCAATAACTTATTTATATGACTTATTAAAATGCAAAAATACGGCAGATACTTAATAAAGGCATTTCATTATACTTGTACATTAAATGGAATATTATTTTTCATGCTGAATTTCCTTACTAAATGGCCTATTATTAACCTTAGAACAAGCAAATAGTTTTACAATTATTACAAATTTGATCTCATCTTAAAGTAGCAATTATTTCTAATTATTGTTAATGAAGGATTGAGCTCGGGGACGCCATCTTAAGAAGAAAGGAGAGGGCAGGAAATCTGAGAGATACTTAGAATCAAGTAATAGCTTATCGATTCCCAGATGGACTGACTGAGGATGGGACCTATTTTACTGTAAATTCTAGAGACAACAACCAATTTTAGCATTTTAGAAATGCTAAAAGATAGATGTTTATTACTTGACTTGAACACATAGAAATGCTAAGAAAGCATCAGGTGGAAATTAGCAATTTGTACTGAGAAATTGAGACAGAAGGTAGTTATTTCACCTTTTGCAGAATGGGACAGAGTGCCTTTCATTCCAGTAGTCTGTTTTTTTCTTGAACTGGTTTCATAATGGAGAGTCGGCTTTTAGATAATTAGATGATGTTTATCCACCTAAAGATATTATCCTATATAATAAAAGGTTAATATACAAATTGCCCCTTGGGAGTTTGACCGACCGGGAGTTCAACCACTCACTATGACATGCGCTGACCACCGGGGGGAGGGAATGCAGAACGAAAGAAGGCCCCAGCCGGCAGCTGGCAGCTGGGGGAAGGAAGGCCCTGATTGGCCCTGATCGCTGGCCAGGCCTAGGGACCCTACCTGTGCAAGAATTTTGTGCACCGGGCCTCTAGTTAGATTATAATTATGCATATATTGTGTGTGTGTGTGTGTGTGTGTGTGTGTGTGTGTGTGTGTTTGTAATGCCATGATTAGACCCAAGATTTTGGAAAGATAACTGGCAGTGTTGTGAGGAGTGGGGAGGAAGATGAGAAAGGAGATGGAGAAAAAACTTGTAAAGGAATATCGCTTAGCAATGGAATGTAATTTGGTTCAGTAGTGAATATTTTTGAGGGTCTACTGTGTGCCACAACCTGGACACATAAGATGAGCTTTTACCACGAGGAGCTATGGTTTAATAGGGGAGACAAACACTAGTGACAGTTGCAATGTAAATGTGATAGCCCAATAGTAGATGTACCGACCATGTACACACCGTGGGAGCAGAGGGGAAGGCAGAGCAGAGGAGGGAGACATGAGAAACTCCACTGTAAGTGGCAGTGAGGCAATGAGCCATTCACATTCCCCTTAGGACAAGCTGGGCTCAGTTCCAACGGATCCTAAAATAGGGCAGTCTGTCAGAACCAAAGAGTGATTGGAGATCATTTCAAATACTTTGATACACTTGCTCCAGGCTGAATAATCAGCTTTCATAGCTAGAATTTATATTGCACATGACTGATATTTTGACATCTATTCTACTTCAGTCTGCATCTTTAAAATAAGAACATTACATTATGAACACAATGTAGTTACCGCATCTGAAACACTTAACAATTCTTTCTTAACCTGATGTACAAGGTTAAATACAGTTAACTCACCACTTCACATGGTCTGCTGCTGTTTTGTTAACACCTTTTTGGGCTAAACAGGGAACCAACACCAGTTTCCTTTTTCAGTTCAATTTTAGACTTGGTTCAGGTTATACTCTGGGACCCAGCAGGAGATAGAAAAATAATAAAAGTTGAAACTCTCTTCCTCAAACGTGGTCTTTAAAATGCATACCCTTTGATTCACACTCCTGATTCCAGAGAATATTTGAATGTGGCTGGTGGTCTCCCACAGAGGCTGGACCCTCTCTGTAAGCTGAAACACTGGTTACTTCCTTTACAGTGAATCAAAACAAGGTTCTTTCTCCTCCATTACTAAGTGGCCCAGGCGAAAAAGAGTAACAACAGCCAGTGTTAGGAAATAAGCACTCCGGCGGTGAAGTCTTTTCGAGATCAATTTGGCAAATGTATCAAACACATTAAAAAGGTACATATCCGGGACCTAGCAATTCCACTAGGAATTTCACTGACTAAAATAATCAAACAAATGTTCAAAGATGATTGTAAAGCAGTACTGAATTTTGTAGAGATGTCAATTCTGCTGAAATTGGCCTATAAAGTTGGCATGGTTTATTATATGAAAAAATTAGAAACCATCTAAATACCTGGGCATAGAAAAAGAACACATGTTGACCTAGTTCAGAGTCTGAAGGGTACATGATAAAGTGCATGTCTCTGTGTGGGTCCTCCCCTTTGAGCAAACTCTAATTCAGGGATATACTTAGCATTGGGCCTGCAATTTACAGAGTTCTCCCATGTACCTCATTATCTGCACTCACAGCATCACTTTGATGATAGGCAGAATAGGTCCTGTAGTTGGTAAGTGGCCAATGCTTGACTAAAAAATGGTTCTATTTTGCGCTGAAAAGAACGAAGCCTTCTTAAAACAAACCAAACCAACCAACTAACCAAACAAAAAACACTTAAGCAATTCCAAGACTGGAACAAGAAATATACAAGATGAACTTGGAGTATCTTGTCATAACAGAAATAAAAAATGCTGTTAAAGATTACTGGGGTAGGGGGGGTGGGTGGGGAGAGATTAACGGGGGAATTTATATGCATCTATGCATAGCCCATGGACACACACAATAGTGTGGTGAAGGCCTGGGAGGGGCCAGTGCAGGGTGGAGGGGGTCAATGGGAAAAAAAAGGGGGCACCTGCAATACTTTCAACAATAAAGATAAATTAAACAACAACAACAAAAATAACTGGGGTAATATCAAAAGACATAGGTGCAAATATCAAGTAAGCATAAGTGGGTCCCCTAGTGGCCAAATGTGGACAACTTGAGCATCACATTGAATAATAACTAGGTGACTATTTTTACATTTCCATGCTGAAATATATATCAGCAATCCATAGAATAATTTGTTGTTGCATTTTTATTTACTAACAGAAAATAATGTTACAACTGCCTAACTGTTCTCAGTTAAAAAATGTTAACTTCAATAATTTGTTTCATGAATTTTTCTCATAAATCATGGAAATTTAAAATACTTTATCAGTAGGATAAATGTCATGTAAAAGCATTTTTTTTCTTTTTCAGGATGAAGTTCCTGATGGAATTAAATCTGCAAGCTACAAGGTATGTATATATTGATTAATGTGTCCAATATCTTAACAAAGACTCATTTCCCCTACCAGCTACTACCCCACTTCTCTGCTCCCCTTCACAGTGAAACCCCTTGAGAGTTATTTGTACTCAATGACTCCAGTTCTTTTGTTCAACCCTTTGTTATGCAAAGCATGAAAGAAAAATTAAAGTAGAGGAAACAAACCCACAACATGTACCCATCACAGAGCTTCATCAGTTACCAATGTGTGGTTAATCTTGTTTCATCTGTACATCCCACCTCATTCTCCCAAGTACTTAAAACCAGTCTCAGGTAAATCATTTTGTTTACAAATACTTTATATACATCCCTAAGATTAAAATATACTTAAAAAATATAACCACAGTCAGGCTTCGAATTTCTTTAGTTGTTTCATAAGTATCTTAATAGCTTGTTTGAAACAGGATTCAAATATATTTCATACATGGCATTTGGTTGATGTGTCTCTTATGTCTCTCTCTTTAAATAAATTTTTAATTTCATTATACTTTTATTTATTTTTATTTTTTTAAATATACTTTATTGACTTTTTACAGAGAGGAAGGGAGAGGGATAGAGAGTTAGAAACATCAATGAGAGAGAAGCATCGATTAGCTGCCTCCTGCACACCCCCTACTGGGGATGTGCCCGCAACCAAGGTACATGCCCTTGACCAGAACTGAACTTGGGACCTTTCAGTCCGCAGGCTGACGCTCTATCCACTGAGCCAAACCGGTCAGGGCCATAATACTTTTAGATTTATAGAAAAAATTGTGAAGATAGTAGAGTTTCCATGTACTCCACACTTAGTTTCCTCTGTGATTAACATCTTGCATTTGTATGATACATTTATTATAATTAGTGAACCGATATTGATACATTATTACTACCTAAAGTCCACGTTTTATTCAGATTTCCTTGTTTTCCCCCTAATGTCCTTCTTGTGTTTCAGGATGGCATCCAGGATAGCAAGTTACAGTTAGGGGTCATATCTCTTAGGTTCCTCTTGGCTGGGACAGTTTCTCAGCCTTGCCTTGTTTTTGATGAGATACTTTTAAGGCGTAGTAGTCAGGCATTTGCAGTTGGGATTTGTCTCATGTTTTTCTCATGCTCAGAGTGGGGTTATGTTTTTGGGAGGAAGACCACAGAAGTAAAGTGCCATTTTCCTCATGTACATCACGTCACATCACGTCACATATTGCCAATATGACTTTTTCCTATTAAAGTTGACCTTGATCACCTGGTTGAGGTAGTTTTGTCAGCTTTCTCCACCATAGATTTATTCTTACTCACCCTTTTCGTACTGTATTCTTTGGAAGGAAGTCACCTCTATGCACAGCCCACATTTACGGAGCGCTTCATCTCCTTGAGGATATAAGTTGTCTGGAATTCTTCAGTATGAGAGACTTGTATCTTTTCCCTCTATTTACTTATTTATTACAGATTCTAAACTGATTTTGCTCATTTCAATCCCATGTTTTCTTGTTTACATACAGAGTGACGTCATAGCCAATGTGTTAAAAAATTCTTTTTTAAATGTTTAAAAAATGCAGTAAACTTGTATTCTATTTATTCCCCTTTTCATTTCAGTATTCTGAAGAAGGCAATAATCTCATTGAAGAATGTGAACAGGCTGAACGACTTGGAGCTGTGGATGAGTCTCTGAGGTTTGATTTTTTTTTTTGGCAGCAGGAGCATTTTATGTTTTTTTTCCAGGTGAAATGTTAACTTTAAAAAAAGAATAACACTGTTATCTTTGTTTGAAGTGAGGAAACGCAGAAGGCCGTTCTTCAGTGGACCAAGCATGATGATTCCTCAGACAACTTCTGTGAAGCTGATGGTAAAAGCTTTTTTATAGTATGCATTTTGTTTAAGATTGTACCCAAGAAAAAAATAATTCTTTAAAAATGACTTTTATAAATTCATTTTCTAATGGTTTGGCATTTCCTCAAAAAGTAAACCTAGAGTTACCATATGACTTGACAATTCAACTCCTAAGCAAACACCTAAAAAGACTGAATACAGGGAAACATATAAACACCTATGTTTATAGCAGCATTATTCACAATAACCAAGAGGTGGGAAAAGTTTCCATGAATGGATGAATGTACAGTATCAAGAAAGTTTAGTACCTACATACAATGAAATACTGTTTTGCCATAAGAAGAAATAAAGTTCTGATACATGCTACAGTGTGAATTAACGTTCAGAGCATAATGCTAAATGAAATAAGCCAGACAGAAAAGGACAAGTATCGTGTGATTCCATTTGTATGAAATATCTAGATTAGGTAACTTATCATATAGAGACAGAAAGTACATTAGAGTTTACCAAGGGCTGGAGGGAAGGGAGGTGGGGAGTTAATTTGCTTTAATGGTTTTCAGTTTTTGAAAAAAAATCACCTCTTGAGTTCCATAGTTATAGTAATATATATATAATATTATTATATATTGTATTGCATAAAATATAGATTACATCATATATTATATATTATAATTTTTATAATATATACAGGCATTTTGCATAAATAGCTAAAAAGTAGGGAATGCAAATACCTGCTTCTGTTTCACTGATATCATATTGTTAAATATTTTCCTTAATGGTGATGGTCCATGTCACTTTTGGAAAAGAGAATAATGACCCATCAGTTGTATCTGCTACATCTAAAGCTAAGCCAGAGGGCTGGTGCTGTTAAAATGTAGGAGCCCCAGAAACCCTTAGAACTCTTTGATCAAGATTTATGGATTTGTCTCTTCTTCCTTTTTCTAGTGTCTCCCTTTTCCTAAATTGAATTGTTTAGCCTTTTAATTGGCTAAACAACATAAAATCAAACTGAATTTTGGTATTTTTCTATGGCTGTTTTAGAGCAAATTAGTGATCTTTTAAACAAGTAGTGAAGCCTTAGATGGTGTGGTTCAGTGGTTAGAGTGTTGGCCTGGGCACTGTAGGGTCTTGGGTCTGATTCTCAGTTAAGGGTGGTACCTGGGTTACAGGTTGATCCCTGGCCCCAATCAGGACACATTGCAAGATGCAACCAGTCGATGTGAGAGACACATTGATGTTTCTCTCTCTCTCTCTCTCTCTCTCTCTCTCTCTCTCTCTCTCTCTCTCTCCCCCTCTCCCTCTCCCTCTCCCTCTCCCTCTCCCTCTCCCTCCCTCCCTCAATATCCTCAGGTGAGGATTAAAAATAAAATAAAAAATTAGTGAAGAGTGATACAGATCATTTTAATTACAAGTAAAAGATGAAGCCAGCAATCCCTATAACCCCCCCCCCCCCAAAAGGAAGAAAAATAGAAAGTATTTACTTTTAATTTTGTGGCTTTTTTTCTTTTAAAAAAGAAATACATGCTTTCCTTAATAAAAAAACATGACCATGTTTGGGCACATTTATATCTATAGCCCTTTATTCTTATTTCCAAATTCTGAAAACATAGAAAAGTCAATATTTTTCCCTCTAAGTTTATCATAGATTCATTGTGTGAATATTCATGTATTTCATGGCAGAGATATTTATGTATTTGATCAAAAGTTGCTGCCTCCGTCCCTGCTGGAGTAATAGTCAATATATGCTGCATGCACTGTATTTTCTAAAATCTGAAAAGTTCTGAATTCCAAACACATTTGGCTTCAGGGGTGTTGGGTGAGGATGGCTTAGTAAAGGAAAGGGATAAATGCTCTCCCAGCCCCCTAACTTTGGTCTTTTCCACAAGGTTCTTTGGAGTAAACAGTGCTGTGAGATAAAATAAATTTATAACTTGCAGCACTTTTTTTTAAGGCCTGCAATGTTAGAGAAAGAATGGCAATACCTTATTTCTATTTAAAAAGTGTCCTTTTGAGACTGCCAGCTTACCTTTGTGTGGCAAGGACTGAGAATCAATAATTCACTTTTTATGTGGTGGTGTTCTGTTATCTTGGGTGAACCACTTGACAATTTGTATTTGTTTATTCTGTGAAAGGAGGGTGGATATTATAAAAAAAGAAAGCTTTATAAGGAATACATAATGTGTGTAAATGGTAGGGGGACTATAGAAGGTATTTTATATATTCGAATGAGAAATTTAAGCCCTGGCTGGCTTTGTTCAGTGGTTAGAGCATTGATCCAAAGGGTCTCAGGTCCGATTCCTAGTCAAGGACACGTACCTCAGTTGCAGGCCCAATTCCTGGCCCTGGTTGGTTGGGTATGAAAGGGGTGCGAATGAGTGGCAACCAATCGATATGTCTCTCACATGGATGTTTCCTTCTCTCTCTGCCCCCCTCCTCCCTTCTCTCTAAACAAATCAATGGGAAAAATATCCTTGGGTGAGGATTAAAAAAAAAGAAGAAATTTAAACTTTTGTCATCTGACAAAATATAGTTTTAATAACATTTAAAAAAATAAAGTTGGGAGAGGAAGTACTTATCATAAGGAAAATTATGAGGCAATGTTTATCTCTAGGCAAAATATAAAAATGTAATCATTTCGTGGTGGTTAGTTTTCTGTCTTAAAGTAGTAGTTGCTGAGCAATATTTATATGTTTTATGAATATATTTATGAATTTATTATAATTTATTATATTGTGTATTACTTCTATCTTAGACTTTCAGTTATTTCTAGATGCTGTCGCTATGTTGCTTCTGGAAGCAAATTCTTTGTTGGTGCATATTGTTAAGCCTTCTAGAGGAGTAAGATTTTGCTGTGCTATTAAATAATTTCCCAAAGCCACTGGAGGACTAGGGTCCTTTTTGTTGTTGTTGCTTTGAAGTTATAACATATATACAAATTTATAGAACACACAAGAAAGCAATATCCCACCAATTTTTGTATGTTTTGTTTATATATCTTTAACTGACTTCTCTATAATGTTTATCTTTTCATTTTACTAGATAGCCTTTGTACTTCATAGTTTTGACTATAAAATGGCCTGTTAATATACATCATAACACCAATACCACCAGCTAATATTTATTATTCTCTTACCATTGTTCTAAGCTCTCTGCACATATATAACTTATTTAAGTCTTACAGTAACACTATGAATATTATCCCCATCTTAGAAATGATGGCACAAGACAGAGAAATTACATAACTTGTCCTGGATTCTGACCCGGGCACTCTGGCTCCAGAACCCATGCTCTGCTCTGTTGGGCATTTAGGTTGCTTCCAATTTTCCCTTTAAAAATAATGCAGACCCAAATGCCATCCTGGATGTGACTTTTTGCATGTTTAGGATTATACCTTTGGGACAGGTTTGTGGTGGATTCTGATGGTGCTCATGCAAGAAGGAAGTATTTGATAACAAACAGTGTATGGTACTAACACTTCATTTACCTTAGTTACTGATAAACTACTGTGGTCATTGTGGAGGGACATGTATATATATTCTTTGTATGGATAGCTTATGAGAATTGAATTACCATGTTCCTTTGGTTCTAAAATTCACCTGTTCCTATTTTGTAACATTTCTAAAAGCAGCATGCTTTTGAAACTAGAGTGTACATTTAATGTGGCTGTGTTGATTCTTTTATCTTTCTCCTGAAAAGTTGTTTTTAAGTCCCTGAGGCATTGACACATCTGTGATGCCTTAGAATCAATGGAGTACTTCTATACTAGCTTTTTAAAGGTAACTGTAAAGAAGAAAGTTTCAATAGAAACTTTTATTTTATAGACATACAGTCTCCTGATGCTGAGTACGTAGATTTGCTCCTTAATCCTGAGCGCTACACGGGTTACAAGGGACCAGATGCTTGGAGAATATGGAATGTCATCTATGAAGAAAACTGTTTTAAGTATGTGTCTTTTCCATTTATAAATTTTTAGGAGATGTAGTGATTTCTCTTTGTAAACAAACAAAATAATAATGATTTAAGTACAAATGAAATTTACTTTGTTAAAGGATGTATTGGGACATAGGAACATACTTATTCATGAAACCAGGTCTCCTCTGGGGAAACATGTAGACATGTTTCAACAAATATCTCTCTTTTTTAAAAGACTTAGAATAGTATTAGACTTTTATGGGAGTGTTGTGGGCACTTAAAATGTTCCTTGAGTCGGGTCAGAGAGCCTCATTGTCTAGAGGAGCTAACCTAGAGCCTGAGAGAGAGTTACTTCATTTTCTAAAATCATACGGTTAGTGGCAGAGAATAGATCAGAATGTATAACTCCTTATTCTCTTTTGGGTGACTTTTACTCCTCTTTTTGTACCTATAGTTATTTTACCCACTTCAAGGTTAAATTAATTTCACAGAATAATTATAATAACTAACACTTTTGAACACTCACTCTGTGTAGGCATTGTGCTAATAAGCATGTTACATAGATCTTCTCCTTTAGTCTTCCCAGTCACCCTGTGTTGTCGTCCTTACAGTTTAGAGATGGAGAAACAGAAATTTGGAAAGCTGATTTTAACTGGTTTGTCCAGCGTCAAAGAACCCACTTCGTACTATAAATCACTATAGTGGAAGCAGTCAATTTGATCACTGGGTGACTGAGACATACTTCAAGTTTACTCACTTCTAAGCTTCTAAGCTCTAAACAATGTGCTTATTGGTTTTTGGAAGAATGTGTGTGTGTGTGTGTGTGTGTGTGTGTGTGTGTGTGTGTGTGTGTGTGTGATGCTATCTCAGAGATTAGGGGGAATTCTGGGAAAATCTTTGGAGTTTCCAGATATGGCAATAATGCATTTCACTTTTTATAAGTCAAATATAAACATAAGAGACCAGCAAGTGTACTTATACCAATAAAATGTCAGACTGTTCCTTTTTTGACTTGAAGAATTTCTCCAGTTTGGGTAGTGGAGAGTTTTTGTTATTTACTTATTTCTGCCATATGTTTCATTTCAATTCTCTTGACTATTATTCAGAATGTTTATGTTTGGTTTACTGACTTTAAAGGATTTTTTTTTTTAAAGTGAACTAAAATAGAGTCCAACTGAAGCACTTGTTTGATTTTGTATTAGTTTTATAGTTCTTTTCTAACTAATTTATATCACGATTACCACAATATTTCTAAAATATAAATGATGTAGGAGGCGCTAAATTGAGCATGTTAAAATATAACTTACATGTTCTGTTCTCAAAATGTCCCAACTTGTACAAATTTGTAAAATTTAAATAATGGATGTTAAAACAATCCCTGCACTTCACAAAATGATACTAATGAATATTCATTTTGAGATTTAAAAGCACTTTAGTGACATATTAACTCTCTTTTTTATCCTTATTAAAAAAACACACCTTTTATTGAAATCATAACCAACTCGATGGCCACAGGGAAGACTGAGATGCCTAAGATTTCCTAAGTGGAAGATAATCTACCCACACTTTTTTTCTTTCTTATTTTAATGCTTGTGTTGGGTATTTACATTTTTTGTTTGTCTTTCAATTTGGATTGTACTTTGTGGCATATACACACATATGTGTATGTAATACATTTAAAAGCATTTTAGTGACTCCAGGAGAAGAGCTTGAGTGGTATTTTTTTCTTCCTTTGTTTGAAGAGGTGATTAGGAAATGACTTTCTGGCTGTTATAATGGAAAAAGCTCAGAAACTATTATCATTAAAACAAATAACAGCCACCTTCCCTTAAATTGCTTCCCTTAAAGCAATTAGTGAAAACTAAATATTTTATAAGCTCAATAAAACAGTTTAGTTTTGGATATAGTCACTAAGAAACTTTCTGAGATAATTTTCTTTTTTTTCTTTTTTTTAAAATATATTTTATTGATTTTTCACAGAGAGGAAGGGAGAGAGATAGAGAGATAGAAACATCGATGAGAGAGAAACATCGATCAGCTGCCTCCTGCACATCCCCTACTGGGGATGTGTCCGCAACCCAGGTACATGCCCTTGACCGGAATCAAACCTGGGACCTTTCAGTCCGCAGGCCGACGCTCTATCCACTGAGCCAAACCGGTTCCGGCATAATAATTTTCATTTTTACTTAAGTAACATTATGGATGACATATTTATACTTTGTAACTTTATTTTGATTCCAGGCCACAGACAATTAAGAGACCTTTAAATCCTTTGGCTTCCAGTCAAGGTGAGTTATTTAATTGCACTGTTACATTCATCGGCCAGTGAACTTTGGTTAGAGGAGGGGGAAGGCCTGAAAAGGGTTGGCAAGAGCACGTGAGGTGATATACTAGTATTCCTTTTTTCCATAGAAGTTATACCTTATTCTTGCAGAGAAATTGGTGTTTGACATACACTTCAGGAAGGAGTATTTTTGTAATGAAGTTCCTGGTATTAGACTACCATAATATGAAGACTAAGTTATATATTTATCCTATGCATTTTCACATAACGTGTGCTTCGTTTTTCTACTATTTTTACTCATTTTCTAGTTACATGAATGTCCAACACCTTCTACCTCACATCTTTCCCAACACTTGAAATTATTGGGAGTCTGGTTTCAAATTCACAGGTCTTTGTAACACATTAACGTTTTTCATTTTCTACTTACACTTAAGGTCTGGCCCACATGCTTCCTTCTCCACAAAGCTTTCGCTGGTCCTCCGAACTGGAAGTGGTCTCTTCTCAGGAAGTGATCTTATGCCATGTCTTGTTTCTCTTACAGCCCTTTCCACTGTTTAGCATTATTTGACTACTATTTACATATCTGTTGATCTACACTGTACTTTGGACACATTTATTGGTTTCATCTGTTAATTTAGAGCCTAGCACATCATAGAGTTTGTTAGATAATTGATGGATGAAAAGTGTCCTCATTTAATGGTCTTGTTCCTTCAACAAATGATTATCCACCATGTACTATATGCTAGGCACTGTGTAGGTGCAGAAGGGACACAAATCCTTCTCCAGTCTATAATAAGCAGTTATGATATCTATACCTATTCTCTGAATATGTGCTTACCGATGAAATCTTTGATGTGCTTTTAGCAAATATGTGATGTTATTGTTTTTAAATTTACTTGAATAGCTGCTGATCTCATATAGTCCATAAACATAAATTTCCTCCTCGAAAGCAATGGGTTGCATCATCCCCTAAATCAGTGGTTCTCAACCTTCTGGCCCTTTAAATACAGTTCCTCATGTTGTGACCCAACCATAAAATTATTTTCGTTGCTACTTCATAACTATAATGTTGCTATTGTTATGAATCGTAATGTAAATATCTGATATGCAGGATGGTCTTAGGCGACCCCTGTGAAAGGGTCATTTGACTGCCAAAGGGGTCGCGACCCACAGGTTGAGAACCACTGCCCTAAATGCTGGCAGATTAGTCTTTCTTAGATTAGAAATGGGAGAACATCTTTAAACAAGGCTTTTGAGTTTATGGAGTTACATATGGTAACTCAGTCGAAGGTATTGATTTAATATCAGTGAAATGCAAATTCCTGGACAAGAGGTGATCTTCAGTATGAACTCACATTATGGTCTGATAAATTAATTAGCCACCTTCACTTATCTGAAAGATACATAGGAACAATTTAAATGTTTATCATTTCAGAAGTGGTTAAATGATTTATGGTATATTCACATAGCCATTATAAATGTTGATGAAATTTGTATTCATTTGCGTCAATAGTGACCAATAGCACATTGAGAAAAAACAGGTATCGAAACATTACAGAAGTAGGTATAATACATTTTTGTAAAAATATAATAGCTAAATATCTATACACAAAGAAAAAGGACATTTACCAAGATGTAAATGGTATTTATCTTTGGGCAGAGGGAGTTTTGGATGATATTTTTTATTTTGTTTGTGTTCTCTTTTTGAAAAACACATATTTGCAATGAGCATATGTTACTTAATAATCAAACAGTGATAGCATTGAATGAAAGTGGGCAAATGAAGATAATTTTTCCATAGTAAATGAGCAGCTGCATACCAACTGCTGAATTGTGCATAATTTGAGTCTTACAAATAGTCTCTAAAAATATTCTTGAATAGAGTAAAATTTTATAATGTCAGTCTGGAGGTTTCAAATCTGTAGCAGAAACTACATTATAGCTTTAGGATAAATAAATGTGGATAAAGCCTCTGCCAGCCAAATAACCTAAGTCCTTAAGGTATTCAAGAGCACTCTCAGGTGACAGATTAGGTTTTCCTCTCCTGTTAGCCCATTTTAAATCTTGTATGAGCTGCAACTACTCTTTATTGGGGCTCTTGGAGATGATGCCACTAATCTGGCATAATTCCTATCACCGATAAGAGTTGCAGCCAGGAGTATCTCATGGATTCTGCTTATGTAGATGAACGGATGGGCTAAAACTAACCCTTATTAAAAGTCTTATTTTTATAGAAGTATAGTATTTTAAAAGGGGCATCTGGAAGGAGTTTATAATAATAAACACTTTGTTTTGTTTTTCAGGGAAAAGTGAAGGTAAGTAGACTCTCTTTATCATACATTACATATATGACTTTTCTTATAGATTCAGATGTTTATTTGGAAAATTTTTTTTCTTCTCACTTCTGAGACTCAGAAGAGGTTAATTTTTATTTCTTTATTTAAAATTCTGGAGGCAAAAGCACAGGTTAAGGGAAAATGACTGCTTGTGTCTGGGATCAGGCAGTAGGGGTAGCAGGCATCAGCCTCTGATAATTCACTCCTACGTGTTCCACTGCACGTGGAAAGCTAGACAGGGAAACACCCTGTTACTGGTTGAACTCGAGGATCTGCTAGGACTCATACAGGAAGGTTCCAGGCATGATCAGAGTGTTGATTTGCTGGCGTCCAAGGTTTATGATGACTCTTGGGTGTAGGTATCATTGCCGACTCTAATTCTAATGCTAAACTTTTTGACATATTGTAGGTTTACTTTGTCTTTTTCAGAATCCTTTTGCTTTATGAGCGAGATCAAAATGATTTTTGTTATTAAGGCCATGTGTTTAACAGTATGAAAAGACTAAGCTGTACTTAGCTTTCGTCCAGCTAGACAAAATGGCTAAATGTATCACTTCCCTCTCCCTCAGAAGTTTATGAACATTATTTTTATGAATTGCTTTTGCATTATGTCTAAAAAAGTAATATTAATGTCTTACAACATTGCTATTTTATTATTGTACGTTAGAAGTAATGCTGAATCAGGCCCAACCAGTGTGGCTCAATGTGACCCATGAGCTAGGAGGTCATGGTTCAATTCCTGGTCAGGGCACATGCCTGGGTTGCAGGCTCATTCCCCAGCAGGGGGCGTTGAGGATGCAGCTGATCCATGATTCTGTCTCATCATTGATGTTTCTATCTCTCCCTCTTCCTTCTCTCTAAAATCAATAAAAAACAAAAATAAAAAATAATACTGAATCAGACTGTACTGTTTGGAAGAGAAATTTCTTTAGCAGTGATATTATTTTTCCAAGGAGCCTCATATTTTGTTACTGTTAGTGTTGAGCCTATAATTTTTAGTTTTGAGTAACTTTATTCTGCCTTGGGTGTTCCTAGTTCTATGCTGTATTCCAGCTACATCAGGAAAGGCTATTGGTTTTGTTTTTTTTTTTCAATACTATTTGAAGATCTCAACCTGCTTCTCATCAGAGAAAAGATTGTTAATCTGTGGAGGCTCTCCTTAGAGAAACTATCTTTTTTATGACTGTATTTGTATGTATTCATTTTGGTCAGATATGAAAAGGTTACCTCTGAAAGCTGTCAGATTAGGTGATTATCTAACTGGAGTACAGTCAGGTCAAGCTGAGAATAAGTACATCAGGATTATAAAACTGAACTGAAAATTTCATCAGAAGGCTAGGTCCCAAACAATATTACACTCTTGCTCCTCCCTGCCCCATTCACAGTCCAAAATTTGAAAAAAAAAACAACAAAAAAAAACTAAAGGTTTTTATAGGAAAACACATCACTTGTAATCCCACAACTCCAAAATCACTGATAATGATAATGGCTAAGACTACATGCAATATTCTTCTAAGAAATTTATAAATATGATTTCATTTAACCCTTTCAACAACCTTAGAGGTATTTAAAATATATATATATATATATATATTTTTTGTTGATTTCAGAGAGGAAGGGCGAGGGAGATAGAAACATCAGTGATGAGAGAGAATCATTGATTGGCTGCCTCCTGCATGCCCCCAGTGGGGGATCAAGTCCGCAACCTGGGCATATGCATATGCCCTGACCGGGAATCAAACTGTGACCTCCTGGTTCTTAAGTCGACGCTCAACCACTAAGCCAGGTCAGCTGAGCTAGGAGGTATTACAAGGAAAATGAGTCCCAGAGCCATTTAGCAGCTCAGCTAAAATCATATGACTTGTAAGTAGCAGAATTTGGATTCCAAGCAGGCAGTTTGGCTCCAGGATCCATGCTCTTAGTTACTATCTCATACTGCTTCTCTGTTAACATTTTGATAATAATGATTATTTATATATGTATACTTTAATAATAGATATATTACAGTTTTGTATATTATTATTCCCATTTTAATAATAGATATATTATAGTTTCATATATAACTAGAGGCCTGATGCACAAAGATTCATGCAAGAATAGGCCTTCCTTCCCTCTGGCACCCAGGACCCGGGCTGCTTTGCTCCTGCCACCCAGGCACCCGGGACCTGGGCTGCTTTGCTCCACCCACTGCCAGGCATTTGGGACTGGAGCTGCATCGCTCCGGCCGCTGCCACCACCCACCGGGGGCGTGCTCCGAGCCATGCCTTGGCCGCTTAGAGCATGCCCCCCCTCCCCTGGTGTGTGTCCACTGGGGCTGGGGGCGGCACAAAGTCCCCTCCCTCCCATCTGTGCACGCAGCTCCTTCTGAGCTGTTGTGATGCAGCCTACTCCTGAACCAGTTGTGACGCCCGGCTAATTTGCTTATTACCGCTTTATATATATAGATTATTCCCATGCCTACTTGCTTCCTTAACCTATGTCTTAGTCAGCTCAGGCTGCTTTGACAAAAGACCATAGACTGGGAGGCTTAAACCAAAGACACTTACTTTCTCACAGTTCAGGAGGCTGGGAAGTCCTCTGAAGGTGCCAGCAGATTTGGTGTCTGGGAGGGCTCTCTTCCTGGCTTGCAGGAAGCCAGCCTTCTTGCTGTATTCTCACATGGCAGAGAGAGAGAGAGTTTGGGTCTCTTCCTCTTCTTATAAAGACTCTAATTCTATCATGGGACGCCACCCTCATGACCTCAACTGACCCAATTACCTCCCAAAGGCCCCACCTTCAAATACCCTCACAGGGGCTTCCACATAATTTTAGGGGGTATGCAAACATTTATCTCTAACCGCCTAGATTTCTAGAAATGGCTTTACTGGATCAAAGGTTCTGGCATTTTAGGCTCTTGATACATAGGACGAGATTGCATTTTGTCATGGAAAGGATGTGCTAATTTACACCCCTTCCAATCACTGTGCCAGCTGACTTTACCCCTCCCTTGTCAGCATTAAATATTATATTTTTATCTTTACTGTTAACAGTGGTATCTCTATAGTTTTAATTTGTATTTTTTTATTACTTATGAGACTAAGCAATTTTTATCTATTACCATTTGTATTTATTCATTGTGAATTCTCTGTTCATATTATTTGTCCATCTGTAATGGGCACTTTAGCATTTTTATTCAGTTTATGAGCTTTTTATATTTTTAGGATATTATCTCTTTGTTGAATTTGAAACATCCATCCATTTTATACACTTTGTTGTTTGTATTTTGTTTTTATTTGTGAAGTTTTCCAATAGACATTTTAAGTTTTCAAGTAGTCTGATTTATTCTTTTTGTCATTTCTTCCATTACTTTTATGCTTGCTTGGATCATTTTTAATATTACTATAAGCAACTTTATTTTATTTTTAAAAAATATATATTTTATTGATTTTTTACAGAGAGGAAGGGAGAGGGATAGAGAGTTAGAAACATCGATTCAACTGCCTCCTGCACACCTCCCACTGGGGATGTGCCTGCAACCAAGGTACATGCCCTTGACCGGGATCGAACCTGAGACCCTTCAGTCCGCAGGCCGACGCTCTATCCACTGAGCCAAATCGGTTAGGGCTACTATAAGCAACTGTAGTCAAAGAACAATATAGTACAATGTTTGCTATATCTAGTAAATGCATACTTAGAATCTTTACATAGTTATAATTATTTATTTCCTTTAATATATTATTTTAGATAAATATTTTCATGTTACACATTCTTGTCATTTTATTTATTTAAAATATTTTTAAATAAAATATGTTTTATTTATTTATTTATTTATTTATTTATTTAGAGACAAGAAGGGAGAGAGAAATATCAATCGATTGCCTCTGGTACATACCCTCTCCTGGGGACCATTATTGTCATTTTAAGACTTTTATATTATTCTACCATGTTAACTAGTCATATAGTATTCTGTCTTGTTAAATTAGGCATCATTGTTCATTTTGATTATTTCAGGTTTTAATATATATAGCATAATCATCTTTCTAAAAATTATAACCCCTCTCCATTTTGAGTTATTTTTAAAAAAATATATTGTTATTGATTTCAGAGAGGAAGGGAGAGGGAGAGAGAGATAGAAACATCAATGATGAGAGAGAATCATTGATTGGCTGCCTCCTGCACGGCCCACACTGTGGATCCGGGCATGTCCCTGACCGGGAAACAAACCTTGACCTCCTGGTTCATAGGACAATGCTTAATTACTGAGCCAGGCTGTCTGGGCATTGAATTATTTCTTTAGAACATAATTCTAAAAGCAGAATTACTAGGTCTAAGTATATTAACGGTGATCTTATTAGGTCACAGAATATAAGTGATGTTTAGTTTCTGTAACTTTGATTTGCTCTTTTGAAATGTTGAATGGTATATAATACCCTGAGTTATATACACTTCCAATTCTACTTTATAATTTTTATTTACTTTTCAAATTTAAAAAAACCTATAATGAGTTCTTAGTTTTCATAGCAGGAACTGTTATCAAGGCTAAGTATTTTTCCATGTATTGACTTACCATTTAAATTCTGCTTTGACTTTCTGTAAAACACCTTATCTAGAAAGTTATTAGACTGAGCTACTTAATGCTAAAGGCTTCCAAAGACTGAGCAGGAGAGTGGTACTTACCTGAACCCATACCAAGACATCTCTCCTTCCTTTGGAGAAATTGCAAATAAAATTTGGACCTTTTGTCAAACAATCTTTAAATCACTGTTTGGCACACATTTGCTATATTTTTAAACTTTTGAAAAACTTACCTTTTGGCATTTTTGTAATCTTGTGACTTTTCTTTTAATTTCAGAGAACACATTTTACAGCTGGCTAGAAGGTAATTGAAAACTTTTCAACAAATTTAAATGATTTTTTTCCTCATTTTTAAAAAGACACATGAAGTTAATTTCATAACCTTACAAGTTTCACATATGAAATGTCTATTTCCAAATTCCTTTTTAGGTCTCTGTGTAGAAAAAAGAGCCTTCTACAGATTGATATCTGGCCTACATGCAAGCATTAATGTGCACTTGAGCGCACGGTATCTTCTACAAGGTATGTGATGTTTACTTTCATTCCCTTTACCACACTTTTTTTCAGGTATTCTTAACATTTTCTTGGTATTTACCTGAATGGAACACTATTCACCTTACTGAGTATTAGGCAGGAAAAGTTCATTCTTAAATGGTAGTAATCAGGAATACAGAAACTGTAGTTACTATAAGGAAAAGTTCAGCATTATCTTAGCTCTTTACCTTCTTTTAAGAAGCTGCTCAAAACTTTACACATCTCTCTGGAAATGTTCTTCTGTTGTGAGAACTGAAACAGCACAGTTTGTTATTCTTTAGATATTACTGTATCAGAACTCATTTATTTGTGTGCCAGCATCAGGCCTGAAGTTTAATGGGTAAAAGCATTTTCTGTTGCTCTTTAGCCTTTAAGAATGCTCTTCAAGATGAGACCATGGTTGATTTTCATCAGAAATATATTTCTTCTGGAACTAAAGTAATTTTTACATTTTAGAAATAAATTGTAGTAACCTGAAGGCTTCAAACTCATTAGTAATACCAGATAGTCATTTTTAATTGTGTATTTTGGTCTTATGAATACATTTGTATTCAGAAACTTGATTTTTATTGAACCTGGTTTCTCAGTAAAACATTTAATTTATTTTCCTTTTATGCATGTGTTCTAGAAGATAAAATATTAATATAGAACTATTAAAGGCTAAGTTATGAAAAGTTTTCATGGTTATATTATTATATATTTTAATATATAAAATTAAATTAATAACTGGAGCTATAAACAACCTAATGTAATTTTATCTAATTAAGCCTACTTAATTTTAAAATTAAATTTTTAATATTTAATTCTTTTGTCTTCTTAGATACCTGGTTAGAACAGATATGGGGACACAACGTAACAGAATTTCAGCAGCGGTTTGATGGAATTTTGACTGAGGGAGAAGGTCCAAGAAGACTTAAGAATTTGTATTTTCTCTACTTAATAGAATTAAAGGCTTTATCTAAAGTGGTACCATTCTTTGAGCGCCCAGATTTTCAACTCTTCACTGGGAATAAAGTTCAGGATGCAGATAACAAAATATTACTTCTGGAAATACTTCATGAAATCAAGTAAATGATATATTTACACTTATATGTATATATTTTAAAATATATTTTTATTGATTTTAGAGAGAAAGGGAGAAGGAGAGAAAGATCAATGAAGAGAGAGAATCATTGATCGGCTGCCTCCTGCACGCTCCCCACTAGGGATCTAGACTGCAACCTGGGCATGTGCCCTGACAGGGAATCAAACCGTGACCTCCTGGTTCATAGGTTGATGTTCAACTGCTGAGCTATGCCGGCCGGGATACACATATATTAATAGAAGAGTGACAAGTGGTATCCAAAATTAAATTCTTAAATATATAATATAGAGAAAGAAAAACTACTTAAAAAATAATTAACAGCAAATTTTGCTCATAGGTCTTTAGAATTGATTTATGTTTTTGTTTTAACCTGGGTACTAAAAAGCATATATTTTTAATTTTAAGAGCTATTCTTTTAGTACTTAGATACCTGCATTATTTTCACATTTAATTGAATAGGTTGGATTTGGGGCCAAACTTCAATTATATTTTGCAGTTAGCTTTTAGATTCAAGGGTAAGAATTTGCTTGGGGGCATCAGAGTGTTCCTTTTACTCTATTTTCTACTCTATTTTAATTATATGATTCATCACTGACCAGCAAAATGTTTTTTTAGCAGACCTTTTAATATTTTCTAAAATATAAAAATGAATATTCTCTGTTTTAAAATGCAGGTCATTTCCTTTGCATTTTGATGAGAATTCGTTTTTTGCTGGGGATAAAAAAGAAGCAAACAAACTAAAGGTAATTATTTTATACTTTAACTTAATTTTTAGATACAAACTCTTAGGCAGGAATGAATATAAACCCATGTTTTTATCCTTAACAATAAATATTGATATACATCCTGAAATTATCAGAAAAATCAGAGTCCTAATGTTTCTTTTCCTCAAAAAAAGGAAGCCCAAAAGGCAGGTCCAACTTATGATTTAGTTTGTGTTGTGTTAAAAATAACAACGGAAATCTGTGGGTTCCATACTGATGGGCTCATGTAATACAGAGAGGTTATAAATTAAAGAAGCAGGATCTAGAGCATGAGTGGAAGTATTAGTCTGTCTTTGGGTAGAGAGAATTCTGAAAATGGCTTTGGTTGAATTAAAGGATTCCTTTAGGGGAAGAGGGCACGATGTTGTTTTGTGATTCATCTTATTCAATGGGAATGAAAGGCATTTAGGAATGCCAGCAGGTAGCTGTGGCTAGAACAGAAGACCTGATACCCCACAAAATGGGATTTTTTGCCTTGCCTCTTTTTGTTTATTGATGTGTGTGTGTGTGTGTGTGTGTGTGTATTAATTTTTAATTACAGATGACATACAGTATTATATTAGTTTAGGTGTACAGTTTGCCTTGCCTTTTAAAGAGTTATAACCTCAGGCAAGACCATCTTTGTGTCTATTTGCATCAAAATATGACAAATATAAAATAGTACTAGGAAGATTAAATGCTTACTATGTGGAAGGCATGATTTTTGTCATTAAAGGGAGAGACAGCTCCTATCCTCAGGGGATTTCTAGCCCATCTGGGAACTCAAGTAAAATTATACTACTGTTCTTTGTCACAAAGGCATGTGTAAGTAAAGGTGGGTGGCCTTCAGGAACATTGAGCTGATTTCATCAGAATATTTTTAACAGTCTTCCTCTGTTTCTTGTTCTTTGTTTCTTACTGTAAGGAAAGAACCTGATTTTATGCCATTTGCAAGCAAAATACTTTTTGCAGTCAGTTTTGTGCTGTTAGATAACAGTTATTTTTGACCTCCCATCTACCTCCTACTTAAAGCATTCTTGCTAGAAATACATACCTCACTGCTTATATAACCTCCCAAACAGCTTCCAGGAACTTAGAAATGAGGGGGAAGATGCTGTAATAAGATCCCCCCCCACCCCCATACTAGTTTCAGTATCTTCCTTATTTTTAGGTTACTTGCTGGTTTATTGTAGAGTTTTCCGGCATTCACTCTTTTTTAGATTGCGCAGATTAGAAATACTTCTCACAATGTTTTAATTTTATCAGAACGAAAACCCTCAAGGTTGATGTCCTGTGGCATTTAACAGAAAACTTTTCTAAATCCTTTTACAGGAAAGGAGTAAAAAAAAAAACAAGAAAATTTGTTAATATTGGAGATTTACTTTCTTAAAATAGTAGTTTATGGTGAATATCATAGATTTGAACAATCACACAGGTTCATTTAAAAATCTTATCTTTTCTCCTTTATGCTCTATCAGTGTTTGGTTAGAAATAGAAGACGTGCACGAGAGGGGATTGTTTAGTGTTCAGTTCAAACTAGAATATGATTTTACTTGAAGGCTTATAAACATTTGAGAACTGGATGAGAATTGTTTTTTGGTCAATTGGTTTCATGGAATATAAGTCACAGTATATCACCACAGCTTGTTTGATTATTCTACCCCCTGGTTATACTTTTAATTGTTGACCTAAAAATTGGACACAAACAAGGGGAATTTGTAAGTGACTTAGGTTCTGGTTATTTTTTGGATCATAAGTTTTTCTCATCTGAGATAACTTTGGAATATATGCAAGATATTGGACATTGATTGCTATTTGCGGAAATCTCAAGGATTTTCTCCTGTTCTGAGTTAGTTAATTTCTGGCTTATTAATTTGGTGCTAGCATATTAAATTCACTTAAGCGCTGTGCTTGGTTTTAATTTTGCAGTGTTAGAAACTTACCCTCTCTGTATGTGCCATACAAAGATTTACTTAAGAGCTGCCTTACATTCAAGTATTTGAATTAACATGGATTCAAATACCGAATTTACAGTGTCTACAAAAGCAAGCACAATCTTTTATAACAAAGGTTTCCATCCTTTGCAAGTATGAAAGTCAAAAACTTTCAAGGCCTTTACTCACTTTAAATTAGTAACATTTTAAAGTAAAAGTTGTGTTTTATTGATCATAGCATTTTTATCCATTTGGAAATTTATGGTGCATAACAGGGAGCTATTTATTCAGTCTCTATACAGTACTTGTCTACAAATGGATTTTGTAGGCCCTTGTAACAACTATTAAGTCTCCCAGAGGTCAACCCCTCATAGGATGGGCACATCTACTTTAGAGTAATTTTACTGCTCCCTTATTCGTGTTAAAAGTATGATTTTCCTGTAATTCAAAGTTGAAACATAAGTTTAAAGAAAACCTCATATCAAATCACCAAAACCTTAAGAGTAATATTACTGGGTACATATTTTTAAAAGGTAGATTTTAAATTAGGATTCTGAGCTCCGCCCAAAAGATACAGAAACACAAGATATAAAGTATTGCTAACATATGGTAAACATTAATAGTAATAATGTGGGCTTTGTATGAACACAAAATTTGTATTAAAAAAGATACAAGCTCTGGGATCCTGTTAAAGATCTTTTACATGTTACAGCTGTTTCAGAGCCTCAAGCTGAATGAGACATCTGGGGAAAGATTGAATTGAGTAAATTAGAGTCAATTGAAGTCTGCTTTGAATAGTGGGTTCCAATCTTTACTGATTTATTCCCAGTTTTAGATCTTTGGTCCTGTTCTCTTCTGGTTGAGCCCAGTGTGTGGTTATTGAAAAAAAGAGAAGAACACTATATGCTCCCCAAATTATAGGTCAGTTGGGACACTGGATGTTTCATCTGAAATGTATGTCAGGTTTCCTGCTTACAGTACTGTAAGCTGATTCTAGTATCAGTCCAGGATAGAGGGAGTCACGTGGAGGATCAGTTGATAATTCTTACCTTTGGAGTAAATGAAGATGTGTTCTTGGCTTCCCTTCTCTTCTCCTTATTAGTTAAGGACATATATTGCTTTTGGATGAGCTGGATGTCTGTTGCCCTATTATAAACAATATAGTACCCTGATGTTCAAAGACATATACACATTTATTAAAAGTATAAAAACAAAATATTCAGCTTGGCTGGTGTAGCTCAGTCATTGAGCGTTGACCTATGAAGCAGGAGGTCATAGTTCGATTCATGGTCAGGGCACATGCCGGGTTGCTGGCTTGATCCCCCGTGTTGGGTGTGCAGGAGGCAGCTGATCAGTGATTCTCTCTCATCATTGATGTTTCTACCTCTCTTTTCCTCTCCCTTCCTCTCTGAAATCAATAACAAATATTTTTTTTAAAATTCAGAATGTTCAATTTTACTTATGGTTTCTTTATAAAACTTGGTAAAGGGTACATGGATGTTCACTATATTCTGTATATTTCTGAATAATAATAATAATATCTGATTTTTTTCACCTACTATGATTTTTTAACTACTATGAAGTCAAAGATTTTTATTTTTTTCTCTTCCATCTCTTTCTTTTTTTTTTGGTAAATGACGCCATCCAACCCTTGCTCCCCCTTTGACATAGTTAATAATCACATACAACAGAATACCTCACAGGCATTCAGAAAATAGTATTTGACTATATACTTCAGCTTAATATAATTTTGTTACTTGTTCTTAGGAGGAATTTCGACTGCATTTTAGAAATATTTCAAGAATCATGGATTGTGTTGGTTGTTTTAAATGTAGACTGTGGGGAAAGCTTCAGGTAAGCAAATCTATCTCAATCCTATTTTTCATTTATTCTTTGCACAAAGCATTTTCTGATATTTTCCTTTTTTCTTATTTCTATTATAGACTCAGGGTTTGGGTACTGCTCTGAAGATCTTGTTTTCTGAGAAACTGATAGCAAATATGCCAGAAAGTGGGCCCAGTTACGAATTCCAACTGACCAGACAAGAAATAGTATCATTATTTAATGCATTTGGAAGGTTAGTTTAAATGTATTAAAATTGTTTCTGCTATCAAGTAAGTCTAATGCAATATATATGCTCTCAGATAAAACTGGGTAAGGAATATCCTTTAGAGCAGCCGTGGGCAAACTACGGCCCGTGGGCCAGATCCGGCCCGTTTGAAATGAATAAAACTAAAAAAAAAAAAAGACCGTACCCTTTTATGTAATGATGTTTACTTTGAATTTATATTAGTTCACACAAACACTCCATCCATGCTTTTGTTCCGGCCCTCCGGTCCAGTTTAAGAACCCATTGTGGCCCTCGAGTCAAAAAGTTTGCCCACTCCTGCTTTAGAGTGAAATTATCTCATTATGGAATTCTAGGATCTTATGATACCTTAAGTATGTAGATACAAACAATCATTACGTGATATTCTTTATTTTTATCTTTTGACTTTTATAGTCATGATTAGTTTACTGATTGGACCTCAAAATTCATCTTACTGAATTTGTATATTTTTTAATTATTATTATTATTTTTGTTGTTAACCCTCACCCAAGGATATATTTCCATTGATTTTTTTTAGAGAGTGGAAGGGAGGGAGGGGGAAAGGGAGAGAGAGAAACATCAATCTGAGAGGGAAACATTTACTGGTTGCTACACTTGCTCATTTGGACTAGGGCTGGGGATTGAACCTGCAACCCAGGTACATGCCCTTGACCAGGAATTGAACTCTCGACCTTCCAGTCTGTGGGCTGATGCATTAACCCCTGAACCACATGGTCTAGGGCTCCAATTATTTAAAAGTAGTTTCTTGTGCTGCCCAAATATTTTTTTAATATGTATTTTTTATTGATTTCAGAGAGAAAGGGAGAGGAAGAGAGAAATAGAAACATGTGATGAGAGAATACTAGGGATTGAGCCTGCAACCCAGGCATGTGCCCTTGACTGGAATCAAACCCTGGGCCCTTCAGTCCATAGGCTGGTGCTCTATCCACTGAGCCAAACCAGCTAGGACCCAAATATTTTTTTGAAGGTCCTGGAAAAACTCATGTTTTGTATAGGTGTAGATGTAAAATTTCTTTGTAAATTCACCCCTATGTAAAAAGGTTAATAATTCTTTAAAAATAATTTAATTTCATAAAAATGATTGGAAGATAAATTTGAAATAAGGCACTTACATTATTAAATTTAAGTATATCTGTACTTCTTTCTGGCCTCTCATATATAAAGATGCAGAGATTTGGAAAAACGATTGTTTTCTAAGGACTAACAGTTATGATTTAATATTTTGGGTTTGAAATAATTGACCTCCAAAATTATTCTTTGTTGTTGTTGTTAATCCTCACCCGAAGGTATTTTTCCATTGATTTTTAGGGAGAGTGGAAGAGAGAGGGAAAGACAGAAACATTGATGTGAGAGAAACACATCAATTGGTTGCCTCCTGCATGAGCCCTGACCAGGGCCCGGGTAGGGGAAGAGCCTGCAACCAAGGTATGTGCCCTTGATGGGGAATCAAACCCGGGACCCTTTGATCCGTAGGCCAATGCTCTATCCAATGAGCCAAACCGGCTCAGGCCAAAATTATTTTTAGTTCACAGAAGCTTGACAGTTATATTTCATTGAGTACTCTGCTACTTTTTTCATGGTGGAGAGCAGAGCTAAACTGCACTTGAAGTAATGAACAAACTTTACTTTTTATAAAAATTAGTAAGAACAATTTGATCACATGTTTACTATTCTCACTCTTTAAAGTCCAAAAGCTTTGGTTCTTTGTATATTTACTAAATATAATGATTAATTTTCAGCACTTGTATACTTATGCATATTTAAAATGCATATTTTAATGATCTACTTATACGTATGTACTTTAAATACTAAGCATATGAATATACTTATGATTACTTAAAATAAGTAACAAGTATTTTAATATTTTAATATTAAATATTAAATATTTTTGTACTTTGTAATTCTATAATTTAAAACTTTAATAATAAGTTATGAATACTTAAATATAACAAATTTCTGGGCAATACTATCTTAGTTTTACCATATCAAGTTAAGAACTAAAGTACATCAAAATAGATTAAATGATTTATGTACCTTTAAATTTGTTGAAATAAATTACTTAAAAATTTTTTTTCTGTGCTCGATAAGTGCAAAGTGAATAACTTTCAGAGAAAAGTTACCTAAGATAATTTCTGAGTGAAAAAAAATTTTGTTTGTTTGTTACAGAATTTCTACAAGTGTGAAAGAATTAGAAAACTTCAGGAACTTGTTGCAAAATGTTCGTTAAAGAAAATGAGTTGAGATGTGCCTGTTCTGGACAATGGAGGTCAAAGGGTAGAATTTCATTCAAAGGCATAACAACGACAGTCTTAAGGCAAATATTTTATAAAGCTGCTTTTGTAAAAGGAGAATTATATTATTTTAAGTAAACATTTTTAAAAATTGTGTTGTCTATGTATAATATTGTAAATAAAAGATACTTTGGTAATGTGGTACAAATTTTAAAGTTTAATATTGAATAAATCAGGATTATTAAATTCATATATGTTAACAGTACCTGATGTTCTAAGTCTCTCAAACTAGAATTTTGTGTAAGATGTAATATAAATAAAACTATGGCCAATGTGACAAGTGTTTAATAGAAAAATGCTAAGGAGGCTCATGAATAACCCATAATGAACAGCCTAAAAGTTTTCAATATATTTACACTTTACTGATTTAGTAAATAAAAATACAGAATGCCCAGTTATATTTGAGTTTCAGATAAACAAAATTTTTTAAAAATATAAGTATGTTGCATGCAATATTTGGGACATACTTAAAACAAAAAATTATTCCTTAGTTAAAATTCAAATTTAACTGGTTAGCTTTGTGTTTTATCTGGCAACTCCAAAATATATTGATATGAAAAAAAGTCACTTTTAGAATTATGTTACTATTTTGATTGGCTTGGTTTTGTTTGTTGAAAGATACAATCAGAACTAAAAGGTATAGGGGATTTCTATGCATTGTGAAAAGTTGAAAAGATTTATACATTTATTCTCATAATACTTTACCTAATATTGAATAAATTTAGGAGAAATCTTTTATTTTTATATAATTTCAAATTTACAGGAAAGTTTCTAGGATAGTACAAAGAACTTTTATCCAGATTCATTGATTGTTAATATTTGCTTTATCTTTCTTGCTCTCTCTATATACACATACTATTATTAACTCAATCATTTGAAAGTCAATGACAGGCCCTTTGAACCCTACATACCTTAGTTTGTAATACTGAGTAATTTATTAAAAATGATTTTTTTCAGGAAAAAAATCTGGAACTATAATGTGATAAGCCTTAGAATAAGGAATCATTTTGAGTTTGTTTTGTTGCCCTTTTAATGTTTGATCTGTAAACTCACAGGGATGTCATTTAATTTATTTTTTGGTATTCATTTCCTTTTTCTCCTTAAAAACTGAACTGTAATTTTTGGAGGTTTTATTAGTGAAAGCTCTTCAGTGATAAAAATTTTTGAAGGGGTTTGGGAATTTATATCACATGGTGATTATAGAGAAAAAAGAAACTATACCTCAAAATTATGTGCCTCTTTATATCTCACATTATTAATGAAGTAGGGTTTATTTATATAATGGTTTAGAAATGTCATTTTACACTGCTGTATTCTTTTTCTTCTCTGTGTCCCTAAGACCTGGTGTAGTGTTAAACACATAGTGGGTATCCAATAAATATTTGTTGAATGAATGTATGAATATGTACTCAGTATATTTTAAATGAATAATTTCAGAGCTAAGTTTAACAATATGTTGTATTTCCCTTTCCCCCCTTCATTTGAATAGGGTAGGAAAAGAAAGACATTAACTTACTAGTTAAATCAATATTCTTGGAGACTCAAAGGACTATGAAATAATTACCATATATGAAAGTTTAAGGACATTTGTAGTGCTCTGAAAATGTGGTAGATGGATTTAAATGGTAATTTGTCTGTATACCTCTCTCATGCCCCTGCCCTTTTTTAACAGCCAAAAATTTTTTTGAAATAAATTCCTATCTTCACTTTGTCACCTTCCACTTGCTCTTTAACTAAAATTGGGCTTTTGGCTCTGTAGTTCTTAACAATTTCTTCCTTTGAAGTCTAAACACCCAGTTCTAAATCCACAGTTCAGGTCAAAAGGCATTTCTTATTTGACTTTATTTTTTATGCATTTGACACTGTTGACAACCCCTTCTTTAAAAATCCCCTTTTAAACCTCTGATTTCCTTATATTTCACTTAATCCTGGATGCCTTTCTTTTACCTGATTTAATTTATACTCCTCAGGCTCTCATTCTTGCTCTCTTAATCACCACCACTTCTCACTTTTGGGTAATTCCAATTCAGTGATTTCTAAATCCTTTATCTTTAGCCCAGACTTCTCCATCCGTCTACGACGTATCTTCACTTGGTTGTCTTAAAGCATTCATTCTCCCCCAAGCCTATTCTTATACCTATGTTCCTTACTCTGGTTAAATTCAGAACCATTATCATCTAAATTCTCTAGGCTCACTCCTTTCCTCCATCTTACCCCTATCCAGTCAGTGTCTAAGTGCTATGGATTTTATCTCCAGATCTCTGATACATCACTGTCTTTTCATTTTAATTGATCGCTCTTACCTAAAGTACTACACTAACCTGTCTGATACCTAGCCTGTTTTTTCTGTTTTGTTCCACGATGCTACTAGAGTGGGTTTTCTAGAAGCACTCTAACAAGGTTCTCTGATGTGTGTCTCCCAGTCCCACGTCCCCCACCACCCACGTTCTGATAAAATGGACTTAGAGTTCTTCAAATGCACCATGGTCAGTCCCCTACACCTTGGTGCATGCTGTTCTCTTTGCATCAATTGCCCTAGCTATCCTTCCCCACCTGGAAAATTTCTGTGTCCCTGCAGGCCCCCATAAAGCATCACCTCTGTGAAATCTCTCGTTTCATCCCAGGAGGACCATAAGTAACTTCCTTTGTGTTACCACTGTAATTACAACCTACCTCTATTGTGGCACTTATTGTACTGTATTATTTTTGTTTTTTAAAGCCTCCTCTACTAGAATGTGAGCTCCTTAAGGGCAGGAAAAGGAACTTGATCCATTTTTGCATCTCTATAGCATAGTTTTTGGCATATGAACACTTAATAAATGAATGTTTGTTGAATAAATTGCTTTTAAAATAATAACTTTATTCTACTAGAGGTCATATTTTCACTCCAAATGTTCTTCACAGCAACAGTCAGTGGATTCCCAAAGATCTGTGGACTTTAGGGGAGTCAATAAAGCTCCTGAAATTGTATTCAAAATTTGGTGTGGTTTTGGCGGACTATGAAAGCGGTCAATTATGGAAAAAATAGTAAGACCTCTTCTTTCAGGGGAAAAGGTAACATCATTGAGGAATTTTTGAATAATCAAAGAATAACTGCCCAAGATTATGGGCTAAATTTACCCTATTTAAAATTCTAAGGGAAAGGAGGGGTTATAAGTTATTTCATACAAGGATTTTTAGTGTTTAAATAAACATGTGCTATCTATATCGTTTAAAGTAAAGTGTATAGCAGTTATCAAAATACTGTATAATACTAAGGAACATGATGGTCAGGTATGAGTAATTACAAGCTCACTAGCCGAGTATAATTTGTAATTCCTCTTTTTTCTCTCTCTGGAGGCACTAGGGTTCTTATCCTTATGTACCAAAAACTCATTTGGTATAGTTCATTAAGAGAGATTAAGAAAACCAGACCTTCAAATAAAAGCACAAACACTTTTATTTTAACAGGAGTGTTTTGTTACAATTTAGTGAAACAACAAATAAATACATTCATTGACCACAGCTATACTTTTACAACCAGTTTGAAACTGATCATATAGCTGAGAAACACTGTAAAACAATAAAAAGGCAGCTATGCATAAAAAAGCTACTAGCTATAAATTACATCTTTAATAAAAACTACAACCAGCTATAATGAGGGGTAAGAGTTTCATAATTAATGGCCACCCAAATGAAATGATAAAAACAAGTACTTGCTAATCACTGTAGAATTACACACTTAAGCAATGAAATGCATTGTTCTAATTAATGAACCAAGAGGAAGGTTTGAAATTGTCATCATGTGCTTCAGTGCAGGATGAACAAGGAATCGGTAGCCCTTTGATTTTATAAACAACTCCTTTCAAGACCAAACTTAAAGTGCTCCTAGTGCTTTGGAATTTTCAAGCAAAAATTGGGCCAGAAGCTTATATTTCTTTGTCTTTGGTGATGTATTGTGGGAGATGTGTATAAAGAGACAAAGGCAAGAATTTAGGTACCCTAGTCAGTCATAAGAATATATTTATAAATCTCAAATTTGGAGGAATCAACTAAAGCAATTGAAAGAACCAAGTTACAGTATTTTATCTAAAATACTTTTTTAAAAAAGTAATCTTCGCTTATCTGGTCAAATAGAAACATTATCTAGGGAAGCCTTACTAGAAAAAAATTTCCTGTATTTGAATCCCAAGGGTTAACACAAATCTTGTCATACAGTTTCAGATAATCAAATACCTAACATTTTTAGGAAAATTAATAGTTGGCTTTCTGAAAAGAAATCTAATAACAAGTTGTAATCACAATATACTGAGCTGCATACTCTATTGTCATGTAAATACCAAGGTTAACTTCTGTAATATACATTTTAAAATAATTTGGTTACAATAAGAGAATTTATGAACCTAAAGTAGCATAACTGTAGGTTTATGATTCTGATTGAATTCAAAGTCATCTTGTATGATAAAAAGAATAAATTTATTTGGCTGTGTACCAGCCTCCCAAAAGACCGAAAGCATTAAAAATTTCATTTATTCCTTGGGGGTTTCACGTACTGTTATACTTTTGTGAAGTTACTGTATCCATTATTAAAAAGTTGAAAGGTATTTTAAGCGAGAGTAGAAATAAAACATAACTTTCAAATAAAATTAGGAGACAGAAAAGGACAGTTGTATTAGTTCCAGTTCTGAAGAAACAGATCAGCAGACAATTGTATAAAGTTAGGTGTCTTAAAGTATGCTGTGACAGCTTCCCAATGTTGCCTGTTCCCTTGGCATCTTGAGGTATGCAGCAATCCTTCTCTTAATATAAACACTGGTAGAAAGTGCATTTTAAAATTCTCTATTACCTTAGCCTACCATATATTTTTTTTAGATTTGGGATAGGACATTCAAGACAGTTTTAATATAATTCAAAAAGTATTCCAATGTTGCTAACCACTGGTTTTATACTTACCTAGTTAGTACCTTCATATCAGTTTGCTTATTTATATAGTGTTGGAATTAAATTTAATTTGGCTTTGCCCATATAAGATATAAAAATGTGAAAACTAAAGGAGGACTTATGTCTTACAAAGTATTGCACTTGAGTTCACTGCAATGATGTATCATGATTTAATTTACCTGAGGACAATCCTGCTTTTCCGGTAAAACCAGGTAAAATCTTGTTTCAGCTAAATCAAATGCTTTTGCAAATGTATTCTATTCATGTTTTAACTTAGAATTGTATATTTCATGAATAACTCTTAAATGCATCTGTAAACTTGTTTAGTTCCAAGAGATTTCTACCAAAATATCCCTATGCAAAAACCACTATTGCTTTCTTGAAGAATCATGCTTAACCTACTACATGTATCTTAATCATACAAAATAATCACTTGACTACTTCTACTCAAAGTAGCCACATAATTTTCACTGGTGTACTTTCTTCTTGAAGAAATAACTGTGGCTTTCCAAAGAACACTGCTGGTCATCACTGTAAAGGTTTACTACTATCATTAAAAAAAAAAAGATTGTTTGAATAATTGAAGTTGGTATTTTATGATCATGCTTAAAAGAACTATCTTCAATGATTACATATTTTTTAGTATATTTAAAAAAAGAATAATACATTTTTATGCTTTAGTTCTGTGCACTTTTCACATTGTAAAATTTTTATTGGGTAAAAATTCCATATAGAGTACACCACGTAATACACAGACGTTTATTTTAATAGGAAAACTGCCTCTTAATTTGGTGTACAATATAATATCGCAGGGTGAACACTGGAGTATGACTTTGAGGACTGCAGTGTACTCTTCAGAAAAAGATAAAAGTGCAAATATGCAAATATGCTTTTGATGTTCCACAGTCAAGTTGTTTGGAGACCATCAAGGGCCTTAAGATCTAATCTCTCTTTTCTCCCACTCCAAATGTTCCATTTAACTTCACTGTACTGTGAAGAGGTCAAAGTAATAGCTGTGTCCTCTGCTGAACACAGCCACATTTCCAGGCGTTGTTTTCAGTTGCAAAAGATAATGGAATGTTTATGTAGATGGCATTTAAACGCATTGAATACACACATTCATGAAAAACAACTGAAGAATCACAACTTGGTAATGCTGTCAGTTTTGTGGTGTTACATATAAGCTATGGTGATTGTTCAAATCGAAATTACTACAAGTAAAGAGCAAAGGAGCAGTATCTGTCATAGGTCCATTCAGGTGGGGAGAGACGGTGTAACTGTTGCTGCCACACCCTGCCATGGTGCCATACCAGCCCAACCCTTGTGAATTTGATAAACTGCAACAACAAAGAAAGCCACAGGACTGTGATCAGTATATAAGTCACACTGGCATTTTTAGTTTTCAATGAATTTTATAACATATTGAAATAACATAATGACTTTCTATAAAGTTTAATGATTTTTACCTAATATCCTTGATTGTATATAATATATTACAAAATAATGAATAAACACCACTCAGAACTAGAATCTGATTATCAGATAATAATAATAGTACATATTATGTACTAGGTTCTATTCTAAGACATTTGGTATACACATGTAGAATTATGTATATATGCACACATACTCATTTACAGTAATCTTCATAACAGTCCTATAGATTCTATTATTCCTATTTTACAGATGAAAAACAGGCTAAAAAACAGATGAAGTGAGGATCATAAAAAATGCTCTAGCAAGCTAAAAGCATTATATCGGTGTGCATTGAGGCTTTCATTTTGCCCTGATACACAGGTGAATGGTTTGGATTTGCAATGATTTTGGAATTAAAGAGGTCACAAATGATTTCCCTGCCATCTAAGGTTCCCAAGAGTTTTATCTAGGGTTTCACTGTGGATTTTGAATAGCACTAGTATATAGATAAGGAAATATATATATATATATATATATATATATATATATATATATATATATATATAATCACTATAACAGTATTTCTTTCCTGCTCACCAATGCCCACCAGCTTTGAACCAATAAAGGATCCTGAAATGAATTGGTACTATTTTACCCCAAAGGCTTAGAGTTCAATGATAGTTCTTTATAGTACAGGTCCCACCATGGATTTAACATCTGCTACTCTAAGCTTCAATATCAAATGATTTTATTTATTGATTTGTAACACCAAATCACCTACTACATATTTGGGTTAAAGCTTAGATTTGCTCTTTTAAGTCTATTTTAGTACTAATTCAGTACATCTACCTTCCTTCTCTTGAACTTCCCAGTCTTGGCAGGTCATCATCACTATCATATCGTCTTGGATTGTCAAAAAAATAAGCTCTGGGACTATAACTGTGACTATTTATCATGCCAGCAGGTGCCTGTGAAAAAAGTATTAGATAACATATGAAGATTTACTTTTCAACTAAGACAGGAGGCTGGAATCTATAATGCTTTTTAGTCTTAAACTTTGCTAAACATAGACAGACAATCAATATAAATGTTCCATTATTTTTAAAAGTAAGGAGAACAGGCATTAGGGAATATTATGATATCTTACCAAATTCTGGTTTAATCTCTGTGCCCGGAAAAATAGTACCACCGACCATGCTGGCACATGTTCCCACAGAAAGAGGACCATTCCAAATACTATATACTCTTCTCCATTTACATCTTGCATATGAGCCTGTAAATAGAGTATGGCAGAGCAATATTGAAATCTGGTTTATGTATAATCGGTCACTCTCCACAATTAACTTGCTTCAGGTAGAGTAAGTTAAAATATATTAACTACAAGCACATAAAACTCTGAATTAATTTTCCATAGTTTGTGGTTTCTTATGTAATCATATTTATCCTTTAAAGAATATAAAAATGCATTAATGCTACATAGAAGAAAAAGCTATCAACTTTTTCAATTTATCGATTTATGAAAATATTTTTAATACATGGATAATATGGAGTGATCTCATTTTCGGTCCCCATAGTTGGAAGAGAGTTACAAAATAGACTACCAGTTCCAGCTGCTCCATAGGCAAATAGCACTTACCCGGAGTTAAAACTTAGAGAATGTAACATGTACATTGCTCAGCTCTTCTATTACTTAAAAATATGCTTTTGGGCCTAACCTCCATGTTGAATTTGTTTCTACTCTACTAGATGTAGGGAGAGATAAGGGGGAAGAGGAGTGAAGAGAATCTGTTACATGTGTAAATTCCTTCTCTGTATAAAGGTAACTGATATTCTGCCCTGGCTGGGTAGCTCAGTTTGTTAGAGCATTATCCCAAAACACCAAGGGTTCGATCCCTGGTCAGGGCACATGCAAGAAGCAACCAATGAATGCATAAATAAGTGGAACAACAAATCAATGTTTCTCTTTTTCTCTCCCTCTCTAAAATCAATAAATTTAAATTTTTTTTAAAAAGGTAACTGAATTCTGATATAAGGGGATTCTAGAATTCCTTAAATTCAGTACAAAGTTAAATTAATATAAATAGAGATGACATATAGTATGTCAAAAAGCACTTTAAGGAAGGAGCTGGAGAACGCTGGGAGTTTAAATATGCATAGCTAGAGTACTGTGAATTAGTATAGCAAACACCTAGGCAACCAAGGAACTATGAATGATCTTCCATTACCAAGACTGATAATGCCAGATCATGACTTAAACATCTAAAAATAAACAAAATATTTAGGTTATATGTAGTGCTTGGGTAAAAGAGAATTAAATTATCCTAACAAATTAAATACCAGTTTTCCCTAGCCAATGACAGGCAATCAATTTATCTAGAGATATTTAAATACTATCCTTTTAAAAAAATTAGCAAAATAGGGTTATGATCAATAGATTCATGGCACTATTAGTATTATTTACAAAAGAAAGGAAAATACTCCTTTGGGAGACGTTCTCTCTGAAGAATAATTTCAAGTGCCATATGTAAAAGAGGATTTTTATTGAAACAGTAATAAAAATAAAAACTCCCAGCAAACAAGAGACCTGGCCCAAATGGCTTCACAGGGGTTTTAACAAACATTCAAAGAAGAACTAACACCTATCCTCCTCAAACTATTCTAAAAAATCCAAGAAAAGGGAAGACTTCTAGGTTCTTTTTATGAGGCCGGGATTATTCTAATTCCAAAACCAGAAAAGACACTACAAAGAAAGAAAATTATAGGCCAATATCTCTGATGATCATAGATGCTAAAATCCTCAACAAAATATTAGCAAACTGGATTCAGCAATACATTAAAAAGATCATATATTATGATTAAGTGGGATTTATTCTGGGGATTCAAGATTGGTACAATATTCTTAAATTAATAAATGTGATACATCACATAAACAGATTGAAAGACAAAAACTATGTGATCATATCAATAGATGCAGAAAAAGCATTTCATAAAATCTAGCACCCATTTTTGATAAAAACTTTCAGCAAAATGGGAATAGAGGGATCATACTTCAACATAATAAAGGCCATATGACAAACCTACAGCCAACATTATAATCAACGGGAAAAAACTAAAAGCGTTTCCCTTAAGATGAGCAACAAGACAGGAATGTCTGTTTTCACCACTCTAATTCAACATAGTCCTACAAGTCCTAGCCACAGCAATCAGATGAGAAGAAATAAAAGGCATACAAATTGGAAAGGAGGTAATAAAATTGTCATTGTTCGCAGATGACATTAATATTGCATATAGAAAACCCTGAAGACTCCACCAAAAAACTACTAAATATAATAAATGAATTCTGCAAAGTAGCAGGAATCAAAATTAATATTAAAAAATTGGTGGCATTTTTATAAACCAATAATGAACTATCAGAAAGAGAAACTAAGAAAAAAATCTCACTATTGCAACAACAACAAAAATAAGGTACTTGGGAATAAATTTAACCAAGGAAGTAAAAGACCTGTACTTGGAAAACTACAGGACATTGAAGAAAGAAATTGAGGAAGATACAAATAAATGGAAGCATAGTCCGTGTTCATGGATGAAAGAATTAACATCATTAAAATGTCCATACTGCCCTAACCGGTTTGGCTCAGTGGATAGAGCATTAGCCTGTGGACTGAAAGGTCCCAGGTTCGATTCCGGTCAAGGGCATGTACCTTGGTTGCGGGCACATCCCCAGTAAGGGGTGTACAGGAGGCAGCTGGTGGATGTTTCTAACTCTCTATCCCTCTCCTTTCCTCTCTGTAAAAAATCAATAAAATATATTTCAAAAAAATAAAAAAAAAATTAAAATGTCCATACTACCCAAAGCAATCTATAGATTCAATACAATTCCTATTAAAATACCAATGGCATGTTTCACAGATCTAGAACAAATATTCCAAAAATATATATGAAACCAAAAGAGACCTAGAATAGCCTCAGTAATCTTGAGAAAGAATAAAGTTGGAGGTAACACAATACCTGATATCAAACTATACTACAAGGCCATTGTAATAATAATAAAAAAAGCCTGGTACTGGCATAAGAACAGGCATATAGATCAATGGAAAAGAACAGAGCCCAGAAATAAACCCATACCTTTATGGTCAATTAATATTTGACAAAGAAGGCAAGAACAAACAATGGTAAACAGTTTTTTCAATAAATGATGTTGGGAAAATTGGACAGGGACATAGAAAAAATGAAATAAGATCACCAACTTACACCATACATAAGAATAAACTCAAAATGGATAAAAGACTTAAATGTAAGTCACAAACCATAAAAATCCTAGAAGAATACATAGTCAGTAAAACTCAGACATCTCTCATAGCAATATTTTTGCTGATATATCTTCTAGGGGATGGGAAACTAAGGAGGAAATAAACAAATGGGACTACATCCAAAGCTTCTGCACAGCAAAAGAAACCATCAACAAAATGAAAACAGAACCCACTATATGGGAGAACATATTTGCCAATGATACATCTGATCAGAGGTTAATTTCCAGAATATATAAAGAACTTATACAGCTCAACAACAGGAAGACAAACAATCCTATTTTAAAAACGGGCAAAGGACCGGAAAAGACACTTCTCCAAAGAGGACATAGCCAAAAGACACATGAAAAAATGCTCAAAGTCAATAATTATCAGAGAGATGCAAATTAAAACCACAATGAGATATCACTTCACATCTGTCAGAATGGCTATCATCAACAAATCAACAAACAACAAGTGCTGGAGAGGATGTGGAGAAAACGGAACCCTTGTGTACTGTTGGTGGGAATGCAGACTGGTGCAATCACTGTGGAAAACAGTACGGAATTTCTTCAAAAGATTAAAAATGGAAGTGCCTTTTGACCCAGTGATTCCATTTCTGGGAATATATCCTTAGAATCCCAAAACACCAATTCAAAAATATATATGTACCCCTATATTCATTGCAGTGTTATTTATAATAGCCAAGACCTGGAAATAGCCTAAGTGCCTTCAGTAGATGAGTGGATAAAAAAGCTATGATACATTTACACAATGGAATACTATGCTGCATGGATGAACCTGGAGAATATTATGCTAAGTGAAATAAGCCAGTAGAGAAAGACAAATACCATATGATCTCACATGGAACAGATTGACAACTGTCAGAGGGTCGGGTAGGGAAGACTGGATGAAAGAAGGTGAAGGGATTAGCCAAAGAACATATATGCATAACCCATAGACAGACAACAGTGTAGTGATGGTCAGAGGGTAGGTGTGTGTGAGATAGGTGGAGGTAGGCATGGTAGGGAAAATGGGGCATCAGTATATCAACAAAAAAAAGGAAGTTAAAAAAAAATAGCCCAACCAGTGTGTCTCAGTGGTTGAGACCTATGAACCAGGAGGTCATGGTTCGATTCCACATCAGGGCACATGCCCGGGTTGCGGGCTTGATCACCAGTAGTGGGTGTGCAGGAGGCAGTTGATCAATGATTCTCTCCCATCATTGATATTTCTCTCTCTCCCTTCCTCTCTGAAATCAATAAAAAATATATATATTTACAAAAACATATATTAAAAAACCCAGTTTTAAGTATTTTAGATAGCAGCTAGAGATTTCATAAAAGCATTTATAAGTCAAACACTTAAAATATTCTCCTATTAAGGCTAATTCCATTATCATATTGTTAGACTGGCAATACATGGTAGATACTTACCTTATCTGAAAGATTATACCAGCCATAATTAAATGGACTTTCTAATGTATCCTGAGATAGGGTGATCACCACCAAATTATAACATGCTCTTGAGGAGTAGAGAAGAATGACTACAGAGCTTACGACAACAGTCTGGCACAGAGACATACCCTAAAAGAAATAAAAATCATCATCACAATACTCTGCACATTTGTCATGACAAGGTACTCATCCACTTGCTCAGCTTAATCACTTCTTGCAATGCACTCCTAGAAAACACTGAATGAACACCTGTTGAAACAACTATTATTTGCTTTACAATTCCTATTCTTAGAACCACATGTGATTATTCTACCCTGTTAATACAAATAAGCTCTTTGCCAACTTGTCCAATGGCACATGGAGAAAGATTTGTTCTGCTAGTTACCTCACTCCCTTAAGTAATAATGAATAAGGTAGTAGGCAAAAGATCTGAGCTATGATTGATATTAATCAGAGAGGTAGTTAATCATAATGAGAAAAGAATGGGAAATAGAAGCATTAATTCATTTGATACACTTAATTTCCAATAAGATACAAACTTAGAATATAAATACAGCTCCTATGCTATTTGCTTCATTCTATTAGATTATATTAGTTGAGTTAATCCCCATTGATACCGTTATGTTGATGATAAAATGATGTAGGCACTAAAAAATGTACTTTACAATCCATAATACTAAAACTATTCACTGATTCCTCAAATATAGAAGGCCCTTATAACTTAGTGGTTCTCAAATGGAGTGTGCATATTGAAAGGGGTGTGGTATCCACCATTGAAGGGATCGTAAGCAGGAGTTTGTACTTCAATACAGTTGGTTTATTTTGTAATCCTATTTATCTTATGCATTAAAAACATTATTCTGAAAAGTGACACAATTGCCAAAGAGATCCACTGCAAAAAACAACACCTAATATATTATTCTGATTGTCACAATGATTAAGGGGCAATGATGGCATTTAGCACCGAAGGACCATGGATGCTACATGACTTGCAATTTGTAGGAAAGTTCTCCACATTAGAGAATTCTTCTCTGACTTTCATACTTTCCAATGTCCTCCTCGACATTCATGAAGATGAAAAGCCTGTTTATAATGATCTGACCCCAAACCGAATTCTGTTATACATATAAACAAAGTTTATGTTTGTATAATTTAAATAGATGCCAACATTTCAAGAAACACATATATCATGTAAATTAAGAGAAATTTGTGTTTTGTTCAGAACTTTGTCAAAAATGGTCAAATATTTCAGAAAATTATGAAACTGCAGTAGTACTGCTTGTGTTACATAAGACACCAATGCAACACACCTGTAACAGTCTGCATTTATAGTGGTCCATGCACAGTTTCTATGCATAGATATAAGCATCTGAGTACTTACTACACTATGCTCCCAAATTTTCATATTGAAATATTTGTTAATTACTTATATTTCCTCTTTCTATTACAATTATGGTAATTACATTGAATTTTTGAAGTTATGTGTGTAGGTAGGTTAAGCAATCTTAATTTCAAGATAGAAACAGGATATTAAAAATGTGATTAGAGCTCTGGGTGGTTTGGCTCAATGGATAGAGCGTTGACCTGGGGACTGAAGGGTCCCGGGCTCAATTCTAGCCAAGGGCGCATGCATGCAGGAGGCAGCAGATCAATGATTCTCTCTCATCATTGATGTTTCTATCTCTCTCTCTCCCTTCCCCTCTGAAATCAATAAAAACATATTTTTTAAAAACGTGATTAGGCCGAACCGGTTTGGCTCAGTGGATAGAGTGTCGGCCTGTGGACTGAAGGGTCCCAGGTTCGATTCCGGTCAAGGGCATGTACCTTGGTTGTGGGCACATCCCCACTGGGGGGTGTGCAGAAGTCAGCTGATCGATCTCTCTCATCGATGTTTCTAACTCTCTATCCCTCTCCCTTCCTCTCTGTAAAAAATAAAAAAATATATTTAAAAAAATGTTATTAGAAGATTTGGTAGGATTGCACTGGGTTTGGTAGGATTGAGAACCATTTTATAAATGACTTCCTTATAAGAACATTACATTTTAGAGGTATATAAGAAGAAAGAGAACTAAAAGATGAAAGATATCTTAAAAGATGTTGGGATAGTAACTGAGTACCTTCTCTGAGCTAACCCACTACCATACCAAAAAGTATGTGTGAAAAGAAATAAAACCCTAGCAATATTACATTTTTTAAAAATAAAGGCTAAAATTTTTTGCAATGTACATTTTATTTTTGTGAATCCAAAAAAGAAAGTTGTAATAAAAGAGCTAACCTAAAACCAATCCAGATCTAAATTTTAAAGTACTATATTATTAAAGAAAAGTTAGAATGTTCTAAGCATTACCATTCTTAAAATAACCATAAATACATTTACATAGTCAGTGCTTTAAGAAATAGAAAGACATCTTATAATATGGAGAGAGTCTGCTTATACATGTAAATGCTTTTAAAATTTTTAAAAAAGATTGTGAGAAAGAGCAAAGAATCAGTAATACCAAAGCAATTAATAAAGAAAATTGCAGCCAAATTAAATACATATAACAATGAAAGCAGCTTATTGATTTAGAAAACAAAGTAAGATTCTTCCTGCAAAATACAGAATTACAAAACAAAAAATAAGGACCACATGGAAAGTGTTGTAAAAAGTTAAAGAAAACCTTCCTAAATGGACAGTCATAACAAACAATTCTATTCAGGAGCAATCCTCAAAAAATAATTCTCCCTTCTTCCATCTCTGATATTTATACACTATTTTTTTAAAAAAATTCCATACTTGACAAATAAAGAAGAGTTATACCTCACTCTAGTGTGCATACCATTAACAGTTCAGTATGCATATCATTAACTAGTGTTCAATATTTATTTATAGGTGTCTTTAAAATGCGGAATAGACAGAAACCTCAACTGACCATTTGAGTTTTGACAAATGTGTGCACCTGTGTAACACAAATCTCTACCAAAATAGAGAACATTACATTTCACAAAGTTTCCATACACCCCTCCCCCCAACTATTTTGTTTTTACCATAAAATAGTTTTGCCTACTGTAGAACTTCTTATAAATGAACTTATAAAATATGAACTATTTGATAGGTTTCATTCATTCAGCATAACATTTTGAAATTCATCCATGTTGTTGGATGTATCAGTAGTTAGGTCTCTGTATTGCTGAGGTGGATAGTTAGGTCTTTGTACCAGTATTGCTGGTTTGCTCAAGAGTTTCATAGCGTTAGCACTGCAAGTCCCACATCCCAGAAAACTTCTCAGTCCGGGGCAAACCAGCACAGCTAGTTCCACTAATTCCATTGTATAATTATGTGAGTGTGTTTATATGACAGTTCATTTATTCATTTTTATGTTGATGGACAATTTCTATGAACATTCTTATACAAATCTTTTTGTGGACATATGCTTTCACTAAAAAAATAAATACCTAAGAGTGAAATTGCTGGGTCACATGGTAGGTGTAAATTCAGCTGTATAAGAAACTACCAGATCTTTCCCCAAATGGATGTCCAATTTAACACTTCCAACAAAGTATTAGAGTTCCAGTTGCTCCACACCTTAGCATTTGGGGTTGTCAATCTTTTTATTTTTAGCCATGCTGGTGGATGTGTAGTATATCATTTTGATTATAATCTGCATTTCCTCGATGACTAATGATATTGTGCTTATTGACCATTTTTTCTATATTCTTTGTGAAGAACGTTTTCATAGCTTCCACCAGTTCTAAATTGTTTGTTTATTTATTTATTGTTGAGTTGTATTTTGAAATTTTCCTTGTAACTCACATGGAAACACAACAAGAATGGGTACTGTGGTTTTAAAAGAATTTTTTCCAAAAACTTTCAAAAATCTTAATTTGATATTGAACTATTTTACATATTAATCATCCTTTACTCGAAAAGAAAAATTTTTCTTATTTAAGAATTTATTATTACTTAGGAAGAGGGAGTTATTGTTTAGTGGATACAGAGTTTCAGTATGGGATGATGAAAATGTTCTGGAGATGGACAGTTGTGATGGTTGCACAACAATGTGAATGTACTTAATGCCACTGAACTGAACACTTAAAAATAGTTAAAGTGGTAAATTTTATGTTCTGTATATTTTAGCACAATAAAAGTATATCTTTCTCAACACACAGCATCCCTGTTTACTTCTAAGATGCTGAGAAAGATGAAAGTGTTAGAATTCTCTGACTCAACAAAGAATCTCCCTCAAAGGAACTGGGTGAAATTGTTTTCTTGTTTTCTCAAATAAAATGTCATAAAAACTATTTTTGGTCTTGTCTGGATAGCTCAGTTGGTTAGAGATTCATCCTGTTCTTGAGGGTTTGATTCCCTGTCAGGACACATACTTAGGTTGAGGTTCAATCCCCCGTCAAGCAGTGTGTAGGAGGCAACCAACTGATGTTTCTTTCTCATATAGATGTTTCTCTCTCTCTCTCTCTTTCTTTCTCTCTCTCTCTCTCTCTCTCTCTCTCTCTCTCAAAATGAGTGAAAGCATATCCTCAGGTGAGGATTAAAAAACAAACAATCTTTCAATAGATTTTATAAATGTAAATAATTTGCCTTATTGTGTCTTCTGCAACAAAACATTTTTGAGTAGCATTATAGTCCAAGCATTATTTGAAACTAATTATTCAGAATGTAAAGCAAAAGGAATTGAAATTTTAAATGCAGGTGTGCTGATAATTTTAAATACCAAAAACTGTTTTTATAACTTTCCAAGGTGGAAATTAAAAAGCCATTCAAGCATTTCACAGGCTATTATTATACTGCATTGACTGGTAAAGTACCCACAATAGCTGAGAGACCAGGAAAGCCTTATGTGGTTGACATTGCTGAACAAATGCCTGCTGGATGTAAAGTCCATAAAAGAAATTATGGCATTGCCAATTTCCAATAATACAGACATTTACTGATTTAAAAATTTAACTGAAAACATAAATGAATCTGATGTAGCAGTACTAATTTTGTTTGTATTCACCTGGTGTCAGTACCAACTAATCATTCAAGAAGATATTCTTTTATGTGAATGCCTGAGAAATACAAGCGGTATATTCAAGGTTTTGAAAATTCCTCTGCTCATTTATCCTGGGCCAACTGTGTTAATATTTTCACT